TAGGAAGCGTTGGGAGCAAGCAACTGTCCTTGTCTGCTCTCTCCACACCTCCCTCCTTTCTCTCCTGCTCCACTGACTCCTTTTCTTGATTCCTGAGTTGGCTTGGTAATTTATGGCTGTCATACAGCTTCTGAATTCATTGTAGTCCCTGCCCTGACTCTGCTTCAAGCAGGAAATCTTGGGAGAATATGATTGGTTCACTTTGGATTAGTCAGGACTATGTTACCTACCCTTTTCCCAACCAGAAGATGACTAGTCTTTCTGCCTCCTGGGTTATTTCAGTTATTTCTCTTTAGAGGAGGGTTCCCAGAGATAGAAGGGAGGTGTCTATGACTGCTTTAAGAGCACATGAACCCCAGCAACTTGTAACAAATATATTGATCTAATATTTTGGGAATAAAAGGATGTGTAAGATGTAGAAAATATTTCTATCAACACAAGGTAAACTATCACCAGGTAAACAGAATGTATGCCAAATGTTATTTTAGGTACTATGAAGATAGCACTAAATGGAACATAAAAATCTCTTCTCCCAAGACTTGAGAGATGGCTCATGGGATTAAGAGAGCATGCTGTTCTTCCTGAGGACCTGAGTTTGGCTCCACCCATGTTGGGTTGCTCACAACTGTCTGTAAGTCCAGCTCCAGGGGATCTGATACCCTCACCTGGACCCCTTGGTCACTTGCACTAAGATGCGCGCGTGCGCGCACACACACACACACACACACACACACACACACACAGAGCCATAATTGAAAAATATTGAAAAATAAATCTTAAAAAAAAAATCTCTCCTCCAAAACTTTTTTAAAGTTAATATAGAGCTGCCTTTATTAGGGTAGTTTCTGAAGAAACTTAACTAGATAATTAAATAAATTTCTTTGGTTTTTTTCTAGATTAGAATCATTAAGATTTCTAGAGTCATAGTTTAAAAAAAATTCGGGCATGGTGGCATACCCCTTTAATCCTAGCACTCAGGAGGCAGAGGAAGGCAGAGTTCAAAGACAGCCTAGTCTACATAGCAAGCTCCAGATCAACAAGGGCTGCACGGTGAGACTCTGTCTCAAAATGAATAAATAAATGAATAAATAATACATGAAAGAAAGAAAAAAGAAAAATCCTAGGTCATTGATTCCTAGAGTATAGGATTTCACCTGCCAAATAAAAACTACATAAAAATGTGGAAGGACTCATAGCTCTTGTTATGTTTTAGCTTGCCAAATAAAATCATGAAAATAAACACACTGCCATGTACTATCATCACTAAGTAAAGAGATTGTCTCATGTTAATACTAAGGAGAAATAAGGAAATGATCTTAAAGGACCACTTTGTTCATGAATGAATATTTGTCTACTCTATAGGAACAGACTGTCCCTGACATTTTGATTTGGCGGCTGACTAGGAGCATTTTTTTTCAGAGGTTCAGAGATTTACACTTGGTAATCATTATTCTTGATTTCAAGATCTAAGGTGGTGGCTGCAAGCCAAATTGACCTGACAATTTTTGTCAGGATTTATAAGTCAATTCATTCATGTGAAGTTGCAGTTTGTTGGAAAAATTCAAAATATTGCTTCAAACTCTGACTTCGGAAAGAACTTATTGATTTAAACAAGACAATTGATGTAATATTCTGTATATGTGATGGTGATGATGTAGCAATGAAACTTCATAAACCAGTTGCTCAACTGAATACTCAAAGCACAGAAGAATGTTATCAAGTAATTCCTATATAGTGGATGGCATACCAGCTGACAAAGCAGCTATTCATTTCAGGAATCTAATTTCCACTGAGACCATCTTGTCTGGTGGAAGGAACTTTGCCTTACTTGGACAGCAAATTAACTCTTATGTGTTCATCTTTGCCCTTTAACTATCTGGATAGGTAGAATGGCAACGTTATAAACACCTTTATTATCTTTGAATATTTAAAATAACAAGTGTTTTTCCTTCTATACATGTCCATTCAGTACTTTTACAGCATGAGGTCTTTTTAAAGTTTCTGGATGATATTGTAATAGATTCTGCTTTTTTTTTTTTTTCTTGAAGTGCTGGGGATCAAACAGAGCCCTGCACAGTGCCCTCCCACTGAGCTAACCTCCTCTCCCCATATTTGCTTCTAGGACGTATCTTTATGACCTCTATTTTACTGCAAATCTGTCTCTTGGCCCAGGTGTCAGGAGGCTGACCAGGCACAGTTAGAATCTTCCTTATTAAAAACTGGAGTTCAATTTCCCCAAGGATGCTGGAATCAGAACTTAACCAATGCTGAACAGCCAGAATATAAGGAATGAGAGTAATTTGAGTAGGATGGAAGTCACGTGGCTTTAACTGGAGAAAAAAAGGTTGCAGAGGGTGTTAGCTTCTAATCTGGGTCCTAGGAAGGCAGATCTCAAATCTAACCAAAGAAAACTGGGGAGATAAAGAGTGTATGAAACAGAAATTCTTGGTGGATGCGGGGCCTTTTACTTCAACATAGAATTTAAACCTCAGTGAAATTTTGAAGAGAAATATAAACTTGCAGAACTTCTATGAAGAGCTAACTAGCATTAGTATAAATGAAAAATGCATACACTGGGACCCAGCAAATCCAACTCTAGTACATTCTACAGATGTACTAGCTGCCTTCCATGACAGCAGTGATTATTACTGTGTAAAGAGGGAAAATTCTACCCTCAGAAATTTCAGTAACTGAGTAGCAAATAAATTGACAGTCAACAGATTAACAAGAGGAAACTACTTTATGCACAGATGTTCCCCAAAATATGAGACTCAAAGAAGTAGATGACTGAAGTTTTAGAACACAATGGATACAGAAATGAGCAGGAGTTTGGGACTTTGGGGGAGAGGTGGTGACAGGTAATAGGAGGGTAAAGGGAGCAGCAGGATGGTCAGTAATGGCTTTCTTGCCATGTAGATCAGGCTCTTAGGTGATATGTCATGTTGGAGTAACCCATCAGAAGCATATGTGACTGTGGCCAACCTGACATGGTGCACTCCAGCCTCTCCTCCTGTACTGCAGTTAGTGTTCCCCAGTTGATGAGATTCCCAGTGAGGGAACTTAGGACAAGTGTTTTCTTTTGGGAACTCTGCAGACTGAAAGGGAACCTCAGAGAAAGGCTCTCTGCACGTTTTTTGGGAAGGGGTGAGATGATGCCTTAGAGAGGCCTTAGTTCCTTTAAAAGTACTCAACATGCCAAAGTCCCATAGTTTGAGGTTTTTGGTTTTTTCCTTTTTAGACATGGTCTCATGGATCTCAGGCTGGTCTCCAATTGGAGGATGGATGACCTTGAATTTCTGATCTTCCTCTCCTTACTTCCTAGTGCTGGGAGTAAAGATGTGGCACTACCACAGCCAATTTATGTGGTGATAGAGATCTGACCCAGGACCTCCTGTGGGCTAGCTAAGCACTCTACCAACTGGGCTACTTCTCTAGCCTGAAGTATCATTTTTCTGAGCCCCACCAAGAAGCTGGAAATGTAAATATCAATTTCCATGAGATTGATTACACAAATGCAGCCGGGTAAAATAGGTATTAGACAAAGCTTTTTGTACAGATACAGACCTCCCTTCAATTTATATTAGGCTAAAAGCACATTGTTTATACACCATCTGTGTAAAAAGAGAAATTTATTTAAAATATACACATTTGGGGTTGGAGAGATGGTACAGCCATTAAGAGCACTTGCTGCTCTTGCAGAGAATCTTGGTTCTGTGGTTCCCAGCACCCACACAGTGCCTCTCTACAGTCTGTAACTCCATTTCCAGATGTGTTGCCTCCTGGCCTCTAAGGGGCACCAGGCACACATGTGTACACATAGAATGTCTCTGGAAGATCATTAGAGCCTCTTAACTAATCCAACTAACACTGCCATGGAGCCTTATACTTTGAACTTTTAAAAAATTTTATGTGTATGAGTATATGAGTATCTTGCCTGCACATATGTAAGTGCATCAGGTGAGTGCAATGCCGGGAGGTTAGACCAAGGCATTGGACCCCTTGTTATTGAAATTACAGACGGCCGTTAGGCCTATGTGAGTGCTGGAAACCCAACCCAGGTCCTTTGCAAGAGCAGCCAGTGCTCTTAGCCACCAAGCCAGTTCTCTAGCCAATAACCCCAACTTTTTTTTTTTTTTTTTTTTTTTTTTAAATGGGAGCACCTGATCCTTTTGCCCCCAAGCTCGTTTCTTCAGCAATAACCCCCACCTTTTTTTTTTTTTTTTTTTTTTTTAAAGCTAGGATCTCCCCGTATCTCCTGCTGCTCTGGAACTTGCTTTGTAGACCACGATGGCTTTGATCTGGCAGGGATCCCTGCCTCTGCCTCCCCCCCCCAGTGCTAGGATTAAAAGCATGTGCCACCAAGCTCTGCATAGAACGTGGGCTTTTGCACTATACTGAATATCTTTCGAGTTTTGAAACAAGAAAATGAATCCACAAACACACCCACCTATTCAGTAGGACAAGCTTGAAGGAACAGTAAGATCCAAGTTTGGTGAAGAAAAGAGTCACCTTAAGGCCTTCGTGATTAAGGTTTTTGTTGAGGGTTTTTTTGTTTGTTTTTTGTAACACTAGTCTGAAAACTGTCACAACCTCCCACCCTCAAGTCAATTTTTCCTTCCATCTTTTTCTGAAATTTGCTATGTTTCGGAGAAACATACATGAAATTGCTAGCAAACTTGGCTTTCTTACCAATACACACTTTCCTTGTAAAGGCTGGGGGAAAGGAGAGGCCATTACCCCATGCAATATTATGAATGGAATCCAATGTCTTTTTGAAAGTGCTACGTTGCCATAAATTTATAGAAATATAAAGTATTAATAGTGACTGATATTATTGGGGTGACACGCCAAGTCATACTTTTGGGAAGAGTATTTACCGAGGGAACACACTTGCCTTTCTCAGACCAGTATTCTCTAACAGGCTCCACTCCCTCTTGGCCCTCCCCTCCGACTCCCGCCTCTATTTCCCCGGGCCAGGGCTTAGCCGGAAGTTTCCTCACCCAACGGCTCACGTCAGCGCGGAAGACGCATTGCAGCAACACCGTCGGAGACGACAGACTATACTCCGTCCTCTCATCTCTATGATCCTCTTTGTGACCCGTGAAACAGCATAGGAATTAGAGAGTTCCGCGCCGTTAGTCCTCCAGGCTGACAAAGGGCAATGTGAAAGGCCAAGGTTCTAGCCACCCGCTCGGGCACGCTTTCTTCAAGTACTTAGCACGAGCGCATGCGCACTGGGCGATGCGCGGTAGCTAGCCAGCACCAGGAGGACCCGGCTGCAGTTGTGCAGAGTGCGCGTGCGCTGTCGCCGTCTCCGCGCTACCTAGTCCTCGGTGAGCTAGCTGGCTACGGTGCCTGCAGCTGGGATGTTCCGAAAGGCCCGGCGGGTGAACGTGCGCAAGCGGAACGACTCGGAGGAGGAGGAGCGGGAGCGCGATGACGAGCAGGAACCGCCGCCGTTGCTGCCACCGCCGGCTTCTGCCGAAGAGTCGGGACCTGGTGGCGGCGACCGGGCCCCCGGGGGGGAGTCGCTGCTGGGCCCCGGGCCGCCGTCCTCCGCGCTCACCCCGGGCGTCGGGGTGGAGGCCGTGGGCGGCATCCCCGGCGGCGCGGAGCCTGGCAACGGGCTGAAGCAGCGCAAGAGGCCTCGTGAGAACAAAGAGGTGGCCCGGGCTAGCCTGCTCAGCTTCCAGGACGAGGAGGAAGGTAAGCCCGCTCCCCGGGCATCCTGGGCCCCCAGACCTCCCGGGCCCTCGCGGACTCCTGGCCCTCTGTGCACGCTCCTGAATGCTCATCCTCGCACCCTGAAACCAAGCCCCCTTCCCGCCCCAGCGCCTTCCCCGCCCCCGGCCTTCTGCTCTGGCCCGGGATGCGTTCCCGCGCTGCAGCCAACCTTAATGACCACCTCTTCCTCCCGTGCAGCTCCCACTCCGGGTTAGACCTCCCATCTGTCATAATCGGTTGCAGTGAATCCAGTGCTCCCTGTCCTGCCTCTCTCTGGCCTGAAGTGTTTCAGAGAGCTTGGTTTGGGTCTTTCGGTTTACGGCTGTTGCCTCTGCAGACACACTGCTTTCCTTGTTGGCCCTCTCTATTCAGGCTTTCTGGAATGACCGAGGAGGCCAGATTGGTGAAGAGGAGGACTAGGGTCGGGAGCAGAAATCTAGAGTTGCAGCAGTGCTGGTTCTGAGTGACCTTGAGCCAGTCGCATTCTATCGCTGGGTCCCCATAGAAATAAATGGGGGAAGCAGATGCCCGCTTTAGCGTTGGCATTTGAATAGTGAAGAGAGACGAATGGTAATAGTGTCAGGAGAGGCCAGGCTGCAGGGGCTGGGATTTCTCATCTTAGAAGGACAGTACGTTCGTTACGTGTTTTTACCTCCCGACTACTCAGATTTGTGTAGTACTGTATGTGCGTGAAACTGAAAGCTCAGTTTCATGTTAAGAAAAATGAGTCTGGGAAGCCTTGCGTCTCGATTCAAAGTGCTTTCATGTTTCTAGAGAGGCAGCCTGTCTTTTGCCTCGCCCTTAGGTTTTTTTAAGCAGGTACACGCCAGCTTTTGAGTTTGATAGTTGAGCTATTTGGTGAGGTGTTTTGCTCTTCACTTGAATTTTCTAATCAAAGACCATGGGTACAACACTAAAACCTATTTTGCAAAATGATTTACTCTAGCTTAGCTTTTAAATAACAGTGCGATGGAGAATTGCTTAGACTCGACAGAAGCTTACAATTTGGCGGATTACTGTTTCAGCTTCCAGGTTTTGATAGCTCAAGAAACATTTGAGTGATTTTTCTTTTTTCCCCCTCTCCTGGGAGAGATGGTTTATGCTAAAAAAATTAATAAATAAATAATTTTTTTGTGAAATTACATGGGGCACCCCTTAAAAGTCAAAATTTCATTAATTTATGAACTTGACCTCAGTTTTTGAGTCTATGGTAGATTTGAAGGAGCTTTGTTTATAATGCTTTCTGTATCTGAGAATATTTCGAAAAATTTATTTAGCAGCACATAAAAGCATGGAGAAGGGAAACTTTCTGATGTTTGTTATAGACATCATTTAATTTCTTTTAAGAAAATGAAGAAGTTTTCAAAGTGAAGAAATCAAGTTACAGCAAAAAGATAGTGAAATTGCTCAAGAAAGAGTATAAAGAAGATCTTGAAAAGTCAAAGATCAAGACAGAACTCAACTCAGCAGCTGACAGTAAGTGCTAAGTGCTAAACTGGTAGGGTTCTTCTCAAACGACAGTTTCTGAACGAGAGCTCTTCTCTTAGTGCTTTGAAGTATGTATTGTGAATTCAATCTGTGGACCCAAGTGCCCACATTGAATAGCATGCATTTCTGTAATAGTCACACAGTTGCTTTGTAAAGAAAGTTAGCTTTTTAAAAGTTTATTTTTATTTCATGTGTATGTTTTGCTAGCATATTTGAAAGTGCACCTGTCTGTGCAGTACCTGCAGAGACCAGAAAAGGATGTTAGAACTAGAGTTACGGGTGGCTGTTAGCCATCATGTAGGTGCTACAAATCAAAACTGGGTCCTCTGGAAGAGCAGCCAGTGCTCTTAACTGCTGAGTCATCTCTTGCCTGTGAAGTCTTTTTAAAAAAGATTGTTGCTCCTGAATTCTTGCTAGTGTAGAGAATGTTGTAGAGAAAGGAAAGTTCCCATTATGGCCCCAGAAGCAGATTTATTCCAGTGAAAATTCCTGTACTGGTTTTTTATAGAGAAAAAATTTCAGTTCCTTTGGTGGTTATTTCCATAGTGGATTTAACTCTTAGAGAACTTTTAGCGTTCCATAGGTTACTGTTGATAATACCAGTACCCAAAGCCTTGTCTGATGCTGGGAGGCCAGGTACATTGCACAGAATCCCGTGCCCTCCACTCCCCATACCTCCTAGTTCTCTCTTGCTGGAGGTAAGCATTCTACCAGTAAACCAGGCCTTAAGTTTAAAACATTTTAAGCAGCTATTTTGTCTTTAATACATTCATCATAATAAGCTCATGCAAATATTTTAGAAAAATCTTTATAGAATTTAGAATTAAAGATAGAATATTTCCCAGGTTCTCAGCTACAGACATAATATGAATAGGAATGTTATGTTTCATTTACATGTAGTTGTGGAGAGAATATCCACAATGGACTATCCTTCCATTGTAATTGTGCAATGGAAGTATTTATAAAAAAAAAAAAAAAAAAAAAAAAAAAAAAAAAAAAAAAAAAAAAAAAAGTCCAGTGAGTCAGCCAAAGGATAACTACACATTTTTTCAGAAGAGGGAGGGAGGGCTACTTCATAGAAAAGCAGAATGGGAATCTGGATATTTGACAATTAAAATTCCTCAAAAAAGGCAAAAACAGGAGAAAGAATGAGCATACCACTAGGGCAGATACATCTACTTGAAGAAAGTTTTGCAGTTGAATGAAAGACAAATTGTTCACAGATTGGATGACTAAATGCAGTAAGGGGTTTAGAGTTGCTGCTTTTGGTGACTTGTCAAGATGGTGGTGTGATAAATACTTTCTGACATCTTAACCTGGTATTGACATGCACTATGGATTGCTACAAGGAGAGAGAGAGAGATCAGAGGCTTAAAGTAGTTTAAACTCATGTCCAAATTTGAGCCATTAATAGTCACTGGGTTTAGAAAGGTGTCAGTTGAGTGAGACTGATGCTTTTCCTGGCGCTGGGGAATTGTGAGTGGGTTAAAAGTGGCTGCCATGAGTATGGGAGAAGAAGTGGAAACAATGGATTATTTGTGAAACAGCCTTAGAGAGAATTGATGGAACTGATACATGCTTTTGCTATTAGAATGAAAAGAAACAGCCAAATTTGAGCTTTGGGCCACGGTGAGAATCTTTATGCATTACCTTCTGAAACAGAGAAGGCAGGTGGGAAGAAGAATACTTTTGGGAGAACTTACTATTTTGGTGTCTTTGAAACTACCCCATTTTCCCCAGAGTTCTTGAGAATCAATTATGTATGGTGAAAAATAGTGCCAGAAAGACTATGAACTAGGGCATGGAGGGAAGCCATGAAGAGGGACTCGAGAAAGGCCTGGTGCTGTGGTTGCCACCTACTGTTGGTTTAGAAATTGAAGTGAATTTGACATTTTTGAGGCCATCTCTATGCCCTCTTCTGACTTCATGGTTCTGATTGCATTCATGAGGTAATTCAGTGTTCTCCCCAAAGGTGCAGCCTCTATGTGTGTCAAAGATTGTCATTGTTTTTGCTGAAATGGCAGTCCTGGAAGCTGTTAACACACCATCTTTAAGCACACCATATGCTATTGAAAGGCAAAGCAAAGACGAATTAACAAAACAAAAGCACTGTTGGCTTGAAAACTTTTTCTTTGTGATATTCCTAAAATAATGAGTTATTCTTTGAATTGGATTTGAGCAGAAATTTACAGTGAACAATTGGAGATGTCAGTTTAGGTATGTTGCTTATTGAGGTGATAAAGTGAATGGAATTGGTAAGAGCAATATAAAAAAATTACTGAGGGCCAAAGATTGCTGCCCTGTTAATAAACCTGCTTATTGTGGGGAAGATTTATCAAAGACGAATGAATCAGAAAGGCCAAAGAAGGAAGCTTAAAAACATGAACAAGTACAAGAAAGGTTAGGAAATTGAGGCCCAAAGAAGGGCTATTGGACAGCGCTGCCAGGGTTTTTTTGAAAGAGGGCTTCTGGCAATGGGAGTAGATCCCTCTCTAGGTTTATGTGCATGTGCGTGGGGAACAGTTTGTTAAATTAGCCATCCTATCTGAATTTAACTGTGACATTGGACTGTCAGTTGAGCCTAGAATGGCAGAAATCAAAGGCCGTTTGCTCGGCTTGAGACATAGGTTGGTGAGGAAGAAGAAAATGGAAAAGTAGAGGAGAGGAGAGTAGCTACTATGGGATTGGGTAGATGTCCTTTTTTTTTTTTTTTTTTTTTGCTTTTGCAGGACAGGGTTGAACCCAAGGCCTCATGTATGCATGCTAGGCAAGTGCTCTAGTACTGAACTATGCCCCAACCCCTAGAAGTCTCTTGTTTTCTTTCTTTTTTTTTTGTCTTTTTGAAACAGGGTCTCTCTTTCTGTAGCCCTAGCTGGCCTGCCAAGCTTAAGATGGCGCCGAGAGTTAGAACATCTCTTGAAAGAGATGTAAATGAAACTGAAGGCCTAAGAGGAATTTTTCTTGTTGAGAAAGGGTCTTATGTAACCCACCCTGGGCAAGACTTGCTTCTACTTTCCTAGTGCTGAGATTACAGGTGTGTGCCACCATGTCCAGTTCGTCCTCTCCTGGGTATCAAACTCAGGGCTCCATGCAGTCAAGTAACAACTGAGTCACACCTCCAGCTCCATACGTGGAGTCTTAAATTAGGTGATTTCGCATTGCTGTAGAGATGTCTGGTAGAACAACAGGACCACTAGAAGAAGCACTCAGTCGTCACCATGCTGTGTGCTTGTCACCTGCTCAGTCACAACTTGGTACTTCTGGATTTAGTGAAACATTGAACCTCGAGATGTACAGAAATTCACTGAAGACAACTTTTGGCCATGTTAGGAGATATCAGGGGTCTACGTTAACAAGGTTTACCCATTAAACTTTATCTGCCACTCTTTTTGCTCTTCTCTCTACCTTAGTTTGCCTGTCATAGAACTCAAAGTGCACAAGTTTGAGCTGTAGTACTGGAAGGAAAAAAAGGTGGATGGATGGATGGACACATAATGAAAAACCAGTTTTTTCAAAACTAGCTCTTAGTATATGTTGTAAAACTATATATAAACATACACATATATGTACACATGTATTCACACACACATGCACATAGTAACTTTTCTTTCAATTGAGAACCAACTGGGGGTTATTTACCCCTTTATATCCGTGAAGATGCTTACTATTAAAAAAAAATGAAAGAAAAAAAAACCCTCAGAAAATAAGTATTGACGGCAATGTAAAGGCATTGAAAGTAGGTGCCTTTGATAAGGACAATAAACAGCCATGATTCTAATTATATAAGATACATAGAATACTTGAAATTAAAGACCATAGCTGAAATAGTCATTACCAGGAGCTGGATAGAGGTGGAAACGTAGTAGTGTGAGCACCAGAAGATTCAGGAATTTCATGCTGGTACAATGAAAGAAAGGCAGGTTCTCAGTGAGATACGTATGTGCTTATAACAACATTATTCACTACATCTAGACATGGAGGCCTCCCTTGGGTAGAATTTTATTCAGGCTTGGGAAGGAAATTCTGACATAGGCTGTAACATGGATAAATCTGACACATTATTCTAAGCCTGTAACCAATTAGCAATAGGGTCCAATATAATTCCAGTTAATATAAGATTAAATAGTCAGAGACCAAAATTAGAATGAAAGCTTCCAGAGACTGGGCGGAAGTAGAGGTGGAGGAGGTGTTAACTGTTTAATGGGTGTTGATTTTCCAGTTTAACAAGATGTGAAAATAATGGAAGTGATTGGTGAGGTGGTGTTTGCACAGCATTGCGAATATGCTTAATAATACTGAGCTATACACTTAAAATTATTTTTTAAAATGTGTATATAAATATTTTGTTCTTAACACAAGGCTGTCTTGAATTTGGTATAGAATTTAGTGAGGTACTATCAGTTGAAATATTAAAAGAAATATGAGCAGTAACTGAGCTTTTTAGAGGAAGATACTTAATTTTGATAAATTTATTAAAATTTTCACAGTATCAACTAAAGTGTCAGTGTCTTCCTGTGTCCTCAGTTTTATGTAATTCTGTCTACTGTGCCCTTTCATATTCATGCATCTGTTTTTTATTAAGTAATTGAAATAATGTAAGCTTAGAGTTTTGAGCCCATGATTGAATAAAAAGTACCTTTTTGATTTATGGATTTTTATTTTAAATATATTCTTTTAAAAAATTCAGATGACCAGCCTCTGGACAAAACAGGGCATGTTAAGGACACGGGTCAAGAAGATGGAGTTCTCATCAGCGAGCATGGTGAAGATGAGATGGATATGGAGAGCGAGAAGGAGGAAGACAAGCCAAAGGCTGGAGGCACATTCTCAAATGCATTGTCCTCTTTGAATGTTCTCCGTCCGGGTGTGTACTTGCAAGTATCTCTAACCTGTACCTCCAGGATACCTGATGGGAAGAGTTAACTAAGTGGTGTTTCTAATTATGCTGTCTTTTTTCTTTTTTTTTTTTTTTTAAAGGCGCAGGATGTTTCTATTTGCAAATGTAGAAAATAAGAGAACCAGAAGTTTTCCAGTTTTCCCAAGTTTATCATTTTTCAAATTTTTATTTTATGTTTCATAAATTATGTATGTATGTGTATGTGGGGGGCAGACTGGGCATGGTGGTATGCACCTTTAATCCCTGCACCCAGGAGGCAGAGTCTGGCCTCTCTGTAAGATTGAGGCCAACCTGGCCTATATAGCAAGTTCCAGGTCAGCTGGGACTACAAGGAGACGGTCTCAAAAAAAGGGGGTAAAGGACATCAAATCCCTTGGAATTGGGATTACAGGTGGGTGTGAGCCATCTGATATAGGTTCTGGGAACCAAACTTGGGTCCTCTGCAAAAGCAGTTACATATTAACTTCTGAGCCATGTCTGCAGCCCCTTCCCAAGTTTATTAATTTGAAGTTTTATTATTAAAATTATTTTATTATTTTTATTTTATGTGTATGAATGTATTGCCTGCATGTATGTGAGTGCACCCGTGTCATGCAATGCCATGGAGGTCAGAAGAGGGCTTCAGATTCTCCTGGAACTGGAGTTAAGGACGGTTTGTAGCCACCATGTGGGTGCTGGGAATCGAACCTGGGTCCTCTGCAAGAGCAGTCAGTGCTCTTAACCGCTGAGCCATCTCTCCAGCCCCAGGAAGTTTTATTATTGAAGTAAATGCTGAATGGTCCTAAAATTTTCCTGTCTTTGTCTCTGTTTCTGTTTTTCTGTATTTCAGATAAAACTTTTTTCACAACTGATGAAAAAGCAAAACTAACTGCTATTCCTTTTATGGCCATACTTTTAATTTCTATAGTTTTACCTAACCAGCTTTAAAATAAGCACTAAGTACCAAATTTAAATTATGAAGAAATACTGTTTAACTCCTGTTAATGTTTTAAAATTTAGACATGCTCACTCTGGACTGGGGAAATTGTGTTTGAATTAGATACATGCATCCCCCTTGGCAGTCTGAACTACTCTAATCCTCACAGGAAACTCTTTGGCAATATGAAGGGATTGCAGAATGTTCTTAACCCTGAAATTCCATATTTAGAAATTTATACTGAGGAAATAACTTTATTGAAACATTATTCTTGTGAAAAACAAAATTTAGGCACATGTCTATCAGAAGGGGCAAGGCTTAAATGTATTACAGTGTATTTATTTAGCTGCTAAGATAGCTATTAAAGTACTAGCAAGACATCGGTTCTTACTGTAGGTGGAAGGTCAGTTTGAGTGTGCAGTTGATTATTGTTTAATACACTAAAAGTTAGTTACAAAATTATGTGTTCATATGTAAACTTAAAACAATGTTTGCAAGAGAAAAATATTACAAATCAAGTAGTGCTTCTTTAGATGGGATGTGGGGCCCCTTTTTGTTGTCCAGTTTTTCGGTTTTCCAGTTTATTATATTACTTTCATAAAAAGAGAAACGGTACAAATAAATCAAACCCACTGGTTTTGTTTTTTTTTTTTTTTTCTCATTTTTCCCCATATTGCCTTTTAGTTTCCTTAGTGATTTTTAAATTTCCATTTAAACTAAATTTTAAAAAATGAGCTGGAGGACTGAGCATATAATGGTCAGTGGTTGAATGCTTGTCAGGCATGAGTGAGGACGTAAGTTCAGTCCCAGTGAATCAAAAACTATTCAGTCAGTCAGTTAATCAATCAGTCAATCACCTGTTGGATTGCAGGTACATAGGAAGAAGTGCCAGTACCCAGTGTTAAACTATCACTGTGACACGGCTGTCCTGAGTTACTTTACTCTTCCTCGTGTTAAGAAAACAAACTTCATATCCAAGTACTGCCACATTCTATAATTCTTACCATTTGTTTCCAGGAGAAATTCCAGATGCAGCTTTCATACATGCTGCAAGGAAAAAGCGCCAAATGGCCCGGGAACTGGGAGACTTCCCTCCTCATGATAATGAACCTGGCAAAGGCCGCCTTGTCAGAGAAGACGAGAATGATGCCAGTGATGATGAGGATGACGATGAAAAACGTCGCATAGTTTTCTCTGTGAAAGAAAAGTCACAAAGACAAAAGATCGCTGAGGAAATAGGTAACCTGATGAAACTAGGTCACAAGCTCATGGCATTGCTTTCAAATGTGGTTTGGCGTTGTGACCAGAGAAAATATTGTTTTTGAGCATTGATTATGTGTATGGTGTATAACTAATATTGATTGAAATTTCTTGTTTGGCCATTATTGTGTTAAATACTTCCCGTGCATAAATTTATATAGTTCTCCCAATATTCATAAGTCAGTGGGTTTTGTTTTTCCCTTGTTGAGCTGATCTCAAGCTTAAAGAAGTTAAGAAACCAAAATTTTCAAGTAGTTAGATTAAATATTTCCTTTAACTTTAGAGGGAGCTATCATTAGGACAAGGCCAGGAGAATCAAATGAGACAGATCAAAGTGACATTTTAGGAAGACTGAGTTGCTAAGGTGTTCAGTTCTTATGAAGTAAGGTGGGATCTCTTTCGTTCTAGATTGATTATTGAGTATTGATTTCTTTTGTTGCTTGTGTTGCAGGTATTGAAGGGAGTGATGATGATGCATTAGTAACTGGAGAACAAGATGAAGAACTTAGCCGATGGGAACAGGAGCAGATAAGAAAAGGAATTAATATTCCCCAGGTAAGAAGACTTTCAGAAATTAAGGGTAGATTGCAAGGATTTTTGTGTTGTAAGTAAAAACATAGTTCATGTTGAATCTTTCTCATTCATTCTAGTAGCACAGTCAAGAGGATTACATGAGGTTATGTCTCTCGTAGGCCTTTAGAAGAGACTAAATTACATTTTTGATTTTTGTAGTTAGAGTGATGGAAGAAAGTCCAGTTTTCTCAGGTCAGTGTTTCTCACCTAGTCTTTCAACCATCAGCAGCCCTTGAGAGTCGTAGACTAGGAAGGCAAATTCTAGAGTCAGAAGGTAGGGAAAAAGCCCTCCAGGTGATTCGGATGCATGCTAAAGTTTGAGAATCACTGCCTTACAGAATGTGTTTGTCCTGGATACCTCGTTTTTTTCTCACTTGTAAAATTACTTTGAAGAAAATGTGTTTCTCAGGAATGCCAACAAGTGAGACTGATCAAAAATATCTCTCCAAGTACTTAAGAATTTGTTTTACAGAAGTAAGGAGTAGAGTAGATAATGTTGCATAATATAAACTTGTTATAGTAGGTCATGTTGAATGAATACACTAGGGAAAGCCTTGGATTAGATGTAAAATCTTAGATTATTAACTCTCATTGCCCTTTTTCCTTCTTTCTTTCTCTCTCTCTCTCTTTCTCTCTCTCTCTCTTTCTCTCTTTCTACACTAACCATACCACTTGCCTTTAATGAACACATTTATCTTGCCCTTACAACGCTGGAAAATAAGGTTTTCATTTTTGTGTTTGGCCTGGAACTTACTATGTAGTTTGTGGGTGCCCAGCTTTCCGTTTTTATTTTCTTTGCTGGGGGCAAGTCACTTTCTTTTTCCATGATAAAATGTTGAACCTGGGTTATTTTTTATTTCCACCTCTTAAACTCAGAATCTGTTTATGAAAATTATTAGAAATAAAATCAGTGATTTTTATCAAGACATAAAAATTTATCCAACCCTACTTTTATTTGACTTTGAAGAATTCTGTAGTTATTTGTTTTAATGTACTGTCTGGGAAATAGGTATACTTTTTGCCATTGGGTTTTTTTGGTTGCTTATAACCCTAAGGGCATTTTAATCTTTTTTTGAAGAGTTTAGCTGAGTTTTCATGTACATCCATTTCTTTTCTAGGTTCAAGCAAGTCAGCCCACTGAAGTGAATGTGTACTACCAGAACACTTACCAGACAATGCCCTATGGTTCATCCTATGGCATACCATATAGTTACACGGCCTACGGATCATCAGATGCCAAATCTCAAAAAACAGATAATACAGTCCCTTTCAAAACTCCCAGTAATGAGATGACTCCCGTTACTATTGATTTGGTAAAGAAACAGCTTAAAGACAGGTAGGGCAGATCAGCTTCTTAAAGGCCTGTCCTCTAGCTTTCTGATCCCTCAGGCAACCTATAGTCTGGGGTAACAGGTGCAGAATGTCAGCAAAGAAGATTTCCTGGCCCGCCCTCAAAAGCTAAACAGAAGATGACTTCATGCTTTGCTCTGCTACCTTCTTGGATTACTTCTGTGGAAGCCTCGAAAAATTATATCAAATGCCTCTCCATGAGCTTGTCGAAGACAGTTCTGAGTTTGCACTTCTTGGACTCTGAAAGAAAGTGTAGTCAAGAGATGGGGGGAGAAGCAAAGCAGGAAATTTTGGTTAGCCCACCAAATAACTGTTTGAAGTCTGTAAACTGCCTTTTTTTTTCTTTTTCTTTTCTTTCTTTTTTTTTTAAGAAAAAGCAGTACAGACGAAAAGATGCATTCAGGTCTTTTATGTTCTAATAGTGGAACTAAAATGCATTATGATATTGCAAGAGTCCAAGACAACATAGGTGTCTGGATATAAATGTGTTATATTTATCCTTTTGTGTTCTTAAGGTTGGACTCCATGAAAGAATTGCACAAAACCAATCGACAGCAGCATGAGAAGCATCTGCAAAGCCGAGTGGACTCGACCAGGGCTATTGAAAGATTAGAAGGGTCTTCTGGGGGTATTGGTGAACGGTATAAATTTTTGCAAGAAATGCGAGGGTATGTCCAAGACTTGCTTGAGTGTTTCAGTGAAAAGGTAAGAATGCAAAAATATTAATCTCTTTGAATAAGGCAAAAATAGGGAGGTCTAGATGGCCTTTTGTTGAACGTCCTGTAATTCTCAAAGTGTACACTAAGCTCAGCCTTAGAAGTGGTGCGAAGTCATGCTTCATGTTCGTCATTCATTAGTGACATCTGTTGGGGCCACATGTGCCTTTTTAAAAACGAGACTTCCTCAGCATACAGGTAGTTTTGTCTCCATGTAATGGTAGATTACTGACCTGCACTCAATAAGATAAAAGATATTCATCAAATAGATTTTTTTTAAAGGTACAGGTCTAAGCTTATTTTTAAATTATTCAAGTAAATCTAAACATGCAGCATAACACATTTTACTGGTTTTAGTTTTTTATGCTGATAGTTGGGGCTGTTGTTGTTGGTAGTCTTCATCTAAATAGGCTCCCCCGCTCCACGAGCACTTGATGAGCATCACTTTGTTCATTGAGCATCATTTCTCATCCAAGTTTGTTGCTTTACTGTGACTGTTCACAATCTTTTGCATGCATTAGAAAAATTAGTTACCTACAGCTAATTTCTCAAGTGAATTCCTGTTAGATTATTTTTAAAAGATAGATGTACCTCATACACATCATACACAGACATACAGTAGTAAGTACAATTTTTAAAAGGTGTGAGGGAGGCTAACAGGATGGCTCAGCAGATAAAGGCACTTGCGATACAGACTTGGTGACCTGAGTTTGATCCATGGCACCCTTATAAAGATGGAAGGAGAGCACTGACTCCACAGAACTGCCCTCCGACCTTCACATGGGTGCCATGGCATGACTGTCCCTCCATCATACATGTACACACACATAATAAATAAATAAGAAAAAAGATAAATGTATGGTTAGATGGATTGGTTTATAAGCATTCAGATACTTAACAGCCTTATCTTTAAAAAAACATTAAAATCATAGTTCTTAAGTAGCCTGTCTTTGAACCTTGGCTAGAAAGACACATTTTTCTTTCTTTCTTTTTTTTTTTTCCAGAAAAGGCACATTTTTCTTTATCACTGACTAGGATTGCTGTAGAATCTGTAAGCATAAGGTATAATTAGATGACTTTGTAAATGTTTATCTCTGTTGGTTGCTTCAGTACCATACAACCAAAGGCTAGCAGAACAGTTCGCCTTGAATTGCTGGATCTTGATGGTTCTAGTCAGTGCCTGGTCAGATCTAGGATAGTAACATTCATCTCCTCCTCTAACACTTACTGTGGTTTGTCTGCATTGCCCGTTTTCTGGAGGAGCACCTGCAGTCCAGGTTGTGATGTTCCTTATGGCAGATCAGTTGCTCGGGGTGGGAAGAAAGCATGAACTCAGCTGTTCCTCTGAGCAGGGGCTGGATGCAAGACTGGAGCCAACTAGAAAAATGATCTTTGTCTTAACCCATACTTTATAAGTGAGATTTGTCTCCAGGGACCTGCCCCTTTAAGTATCTTGGCTTTTGCTTTAGAACTTACTTGAATAAAATTGCCCACTCAAAATTGTAAACATAATTAATGCTAAAAAAACTGACATCAGTAACGTCAGTTAGATCATACTATCTTTGTATTAAATAGAATGATAGCACACAGTGTCTGTTGCTGAATTATTAGTGTACTTTCTCCTGAGTTTCTAGAGAGTCTACTTCAGATTGTGCTAATATGGTTCTAAAGAGTCAATTAGATATTTTTATAGAAAATCTTAACCCTTATATAGTGATTACATTTTTCATTAAAAGAAGCAGATAGAACTCTATTTCAGAGATGTGTATTTTTCTTCATTTTGACAGTCATTTGCATGCATTCAACTGTATTAATATGCTTTTGAACTGATAATATAAATTGTCATCCTTACAATATTTGAACATAATTTAAAAATTGGGATGATTGGGTAGATTTGAATATTTTTACTATAAAATATTCTTAGTATATAAAAGTTAGTCATTTAAAAACCTATATTTTATTTGTAAGTCATTTTAGCTTTCCATTATTTAGTTTACCCTCTAGTCATCTTGTTAAGTTTTTTGATCTTATATTTGGCCCTAAATCTAATAGTAATAATGCTAGTTTTTAGTCTGGAGAGGGTAAAGAAATGGTCATGGTACACTCTTGAGGTAAATCAATGTTGTTAAAAACTTAGAATGAGACCTACAATTGAGTTTTAAAGCTTTAATTCCTAGAGTTGTCTTATCTTTGTATCTTAAAAGACAAAATTACGTGATCATAGTCGACATTAAACTAGGTAATTCTTTCTGATGCCAGCTGAGGCTTATAGCTCTTACAGTGGAGGACTGTTACTATCCAGGACTAGAAGAATGCATTTTAGTTAGACTTGTCTTTTTTTCTTTTTTGCATGATTTTTTAAAAGGCGGTGTGTATATGGGGGCATAAAGTATAAGTTGCTAAAGAAAGAATTCAGATTATAGCAGATTGTAATGAACTCAGGATAGTCATTGCAGATTTTGCTGCATTGTTGCCTGTGATGTGGCATATTGAAGAACAAGTGACTTTGACCCTTTCTGTGAACATTTGCCACTTTTGCAACGGAATCATGCAACTATATAAAATTGCTTCTATTACAGACATTTTTGTATTCTACCTGCCTTTTTAAAAAGTTTCTGTTGCTAGTCTGCTCAGTTCGGGGAACTGCTATAACACTTGGTGCCACTGTTCCCAGACTCTAAGTAATGCGTTTTCCAATTGAAATAGCCATCGGGAAACTAGAATTTCTGGTTTCCTCATATAGGTATGTAGAGTGGTCGTTAGTCATTTGTGAAAGTTTCATAGCATTTGGTTATAATATCAGGTATTTATATAAAAAAGAAACTTTCTGATTTTTTAAAAATTTAGATATCAGCTCTATAAGCCTTTCTATTCTCTGTGAGTTAAGTAAATGAATTAGGCACGTTAAGCTGGAAATCTTTTCCTTTGAAAGCTGGTAATTTGTGTGAAAATCCTATTATAAAATATGGAAAAATTTGAATATTTGCTAGGAAGAGAAGGCACTTCTGTGTTTGAGAGGTATTGAATTCAGACTGGTTAGCAATAGCTGGAAGTTTTATTTGGCCTGTTAGTGTAAAATGTACAATAAATCTACAAAATAGTGTAACAGTTTATTGTAAGGTACTTGGCCCGTAGGCGTGGCAGAGCATTTTCAGTGTTAAAGATTAGACAGTTAGCATACTCTTGTTCTTGCCTACCGTAAGAGTTACTGTAGTGGGGTTTTTTGGTAAGGTTTATTTTAAACTAGAAAATTTGCCAGACATGGTGGCATGCACCTGTAATCCCAGCACTGAGGAAGCTAGGGCAGGAGGCCAGCAGGAGTTCCAGGGCAGCTTATGTCACATAGAGAAACCCTGACTTTAAAAAGAAAAAGGGAAACAACAACAGCAGAAAACCACAAAAGAAAAAGAAACCTACACCATGTGCTATGTAGATCATGTTGCTGGACAATTAAACATGTAAATTAAGAAGACTTCTAAGTACTTAAATTTTCTTTAAAGAATAAAGCACTAAAAAATTGACATTGACATTTCTTTACTTGTTCTCTATTAATATTGAACATTACATTTATTAACTTTTGCTCCAATAGCTAAGCACTGGACATTATAGCTTTATACATGGATTGAAAGAAGAAGTTTCCAATACATTACAAAGCTGAATTGCTATTCATGTACTGTTGGGGATTCATGATTATTTTTGTCTGTAGAGAAGTACTTTTTCAGAAATCCGGAAATAGTATGGAACCCTCAAATGAGTAAGCAGCCGAGGAGTTTGGTGTTACGGAGTGTATTGTATTTTTACAGGTGCCACTGATTAATGAACTTGAATCAGCAATACATCAGCTGTACAAACAGCGCGCTTCCCGCCTTGTCCAAAGACGACAAGATGATATTAAAGATGAATCTTCGGAGTTTTCAAGCCATTCAAGTCAGTCCATCTTGAAGGTTTTTATTTTTCATTAAACAACCTTGTTTATTACTTAGTGCAGCCTAATTGAAATTTAGAGATTTTTCTTTAAAGAAACAGCTTTCCTTATTCATATGTTAGGTAGATCTACAAATTATAACAGCATGTGCTTGAATTGTGTTTAAGAAAACAAGATCTCTCAAAGTACACTAGTATTCTTTCAGTCTTCCTCTTCCTTGGACATATTTTTAAATCCCTTTTAGAGTATAGAAAGTACATTATCCATATTTTATCTTAAAACCACTATCTTTTGGCCCCAGCTGATCCCCACTCCTGGTTTCTCTCTGTTCAAGACACTGCTAGAAATGCTGTGTTCGGTCACAGTAAAAAGATCTTAAGTTTCTCAGCTTGGAAGTTTGGGGGAGGGGGATATGGAGAAGCTGTATTACATAGCACATGACAACCCCAGGATTAGAGGAATTTGAAATTAATTACCTTTTCAGTAAAGCAAACGATTTTGCATTTCTTTTTAAGTGTTCTTTTTTCCTAGTTTGCTGCCTTTATTTTTTTTTTTTAGTGAGCTAATGCATACAGTTCTCAGTTTTGCATAGAAATGTAGAAATTGAGTTTATGTTGTGTTACTTATGACATGAAATATGAAAAAAATTTAATCGGAAGTCTCTTTAAATTCCTGTAGCTGAGAGTCTTTAGCCAGATGCTTTTACAAACTTTTAGTTCTGTTTTTTTTCTCATTACCTTCCATATTCTCAGGTGATCTAATAGAAAATTTCTTGGTGTGGGTCCTTTCGTCATCCCTTTATACCCTGTGCTTCTAGAAGTCTCAGTTACCTGGCATGCTCATTTAAGATGCAGGTTTCCTGGTCTCATACCTAGTGATTCTTACTAGGTCCTTCCTATCCAGAAATCTGCATATTAAACAACTGCTCCAAATGATTCAAGAGTAAAGGAGCCTAATGTTATTATTAGAACAGTGCTTTGTATGTGCTGTCCTCCCAGTCAGTCTTGGATTCAAGGGAAAGCATCCATCTGTGTGTCTGATGGGTTTTGGAGAGACTTAAAGAGAAGATACTGTGGCCCTCAGATCTGACCCCTGCAGATTTGGTGTGGGCCATATGAATGGCTTTGACCTGGTTTTGCCATTAAAGTTTAAATTGTGTCATTGACCTTGGGCATCTAAGTGACTAATGAATCCCTCCCAGTTCACTTTTGATCCAGACAACCAGATTTCTGGGCAGATTACAGGTAACCGTTATACAAAAAAAGGAAATGATTTCCTTTTAAATGGTGTGAGCTTTGTATTGCACTAAATATCTTTCCTGTTTATAATCTACTCATAATATGGAGCTGTGTAGTTACCTGGAATTTAAAATTATAGTTAAATGTATGTTAATTAGATTGAAAATTAGAAAGATTTGGAAGATGATATTTTGGGGCATATAACTGACAAAGATGGAAGGGGAATGAATTGGACGTTAAGGACAGTTCATTGTCTGATTTTTTTTTTCTAAGAATAGTGTCAGGTTCATCTGTTTAGATTTATACTCTTATCTGCAGTTACTATATATAGTTTTTACAGAAATTAAAAGAAGCCATCACTTGAAACTTTCATATTTCTCATCTAACTTGTGTACTCTGGAGAACACTTTGTTCCTAGTATTAGCTATTTTGAAATAAGAATGAAAAACTTAGCTTTAAAAAGTCACCTTTTAAAAATAGTAAGATCTAAAATAGTTTAGAAATACTGAGCCAAATTTTGTTTTTGTTTTTCCTATTGCTTGTTTGGGTAGCACATCTCTGAAAAATGTCTGCATAGGCTTCAGATGATTGTCATTCATGTTCTGTGTTCATCTCCCACCAACCCCTTGTTTTGTTTTTGTAGTTTTGGTTTTTGTTTTGCTTCCCATAAATATTGTGTATTTTCCAGAATATCTTTAGTGGAATGCAGTATAGAAATAGGGACACACAGAAGATGTTTTTCCCTACCCTCTCCTACCCTAAGCAAGTTTGTACAGAGGAATCGTTTTTAGCAAAAAAATGATTGAATGCAGAGAAAAGACTGAGCTGCTGACATCCGAGGTTCCCTAATGAAAGAGTTGGCCTGGATCAGTGATCTAATGGAGGTGCCTCTTAGACAGTTCCACGTGTGCACATAAACCTCATTCTTGCTCTTCTATGTGAACAGGCAACTATCAGCAAAAAGGCCAACACCAGTAATGGGAACAAAGGGCCAAGGAAAGGACAATGCTGGTGGCCAAAGGAAACTGCAAAACTAATTTATAGGTTAAGGGAGATAATTTATGGTCTTTCTCTCTATTCCTTTCTTTCTTTTTAATGTGGTCCTGGAGGTTGAACCTAGAGCTTCAACATGCTAGGCAAGCACTCTACCAACTGAGCTACGTCCCCAGTCTCTATGGTCTCAACAAAAGGACAAATGCTATACAGGAATATTGTAGGAACAAGAACCACCTTTTTGAAACTAAAACGATGATTAACAGAAGTACAAATTTAAACAGGAAAGTTAGAAACCAAAGCCAGAAGTCACCATGGGTTTTCAACAGAGAGATGGAATATTAATAAGAGGAATTAAAAAGAGTAAGGGATGTCATGTAAAAGAGCAGTATTACAAAGGGTAGAAGTTGTCCTTAGGGTTGTCAGTCTACAGGGTGACCTTGTTCTAAACACTCACATTAAGTAAATTTCCACAAAGCAAAGTAGAGTAAGATAATAAATTCTTAAACCCTTGCTAACAAAACTATTTTCTCCTCTCTTTCTACATGTGCTTCTTTGCTGTCATTTTACATCATTCAACATGTGATTTGATTTCTAAGTTCATCTTTTAGATTTTTCATTTGTTTGGTCATTGTAATAGCTAGTCGTTATTTAGACAGAAATAGTGAATAAGCCCAGTTTCATTGTTGTGCTCTTGAAGTTGCATTAATTCTTTGACTTCTTTTCACGGAAACTCAGAATAATACAAAAATTTGTTCTATACTAAAAACTTACCTAGTTTACCAGTCATTGCAGAATTTTGCTGTTGAGATTAGCAAGTGGTCAGTCTATCATAATGGCTTATTCTGTGCAAATTCTTTCCTCAGGATTGTTGAAGGAAGACTTTTAATTTTAAATATTGTTGTTTTACAGATAAGGCTTTGATGGCACCAAATCTTGATTCCTTTGGACGAGATCGGGCACTGTATCAAGAACATGCAAAACGGCGGATTGCGGAGCGGGAGGCCAGGAGGTAATTCTGAAAATGCTTGCTGTGCTTTGCTAGGGAAGGAGAAATCTCTTCTGTCTGATTTGATAAATTGATATTGTTACTTAGGACGCGCCGTCGACAAGCCAGAGAGCAAACCGGTAAGATGGCAGATCACCTTGAAGGCCTTTCCAGTGATGATGAAGAAACCTCTACAGATACTACCAATTTCAATCTGGAAAAAGGTTAGAATTTTATTTGGAAATGGGACTCATCAAATTGTTTTCTACAAAAAAATTACTGAAATTAAAAAATTTTTACGTTTTTTTCCTTTTGTGAGCATGCCACTCTGTGTGTGTGTGTGTGTGTGTGTGTGTGTGTGTGTGTGTGCGCGTGGAAGTCCAGACAACTTGTAGGAGTTGGTTCTCTACTTCCACCATGTAAATTTCCTTCCAGGGATTGAACTCAGGCTATCAAGCTTGGTGGCATGCACTCGTAACTAGCTGAGCCATCTTGCTGGCCCTTGTGTTTTTTAACTGTAAAATGGTTAGAATTTGTGTGTGTTCTTCATTAGAACCAGGTAGTTTTTGTTTTCCATTTTTATTAGTGAATAGAGTTCACTTCATTGCAGGGTTTAATTAGTACTCGCATAGTGATATTGTTCACAACTATAGAATTTTACATGACAAAAATATATCAGGCCCTGTGGTCCCCTCAACTGAAGCTTGTCTGTTCTGGAAAGGTAGGCTGTCAGGTGGCAGGGAACAGTCAACCCTGCAGGAGTCTCCTGATCTGGGGAATAGTAAGTCACTTTAACCAAGAGGAATAGTTAGTACTGCCAGGTGCCAGGCATTCCCAGAATGATCACTAAATAAATTTTCTTTCCCCCCATTAGCTGTAGTTGTTTGCAATTATATTGGCTGTAGGCTGTTAGAGAATCTTCTTTAGCCATGACTTTTTCTGGGGATTGAATTTAGGGTCTCACACTTGCTAGGCTACCATTGAGCCTATAGTCTCAGCCATTTTTTCTTTGTATCTTGAAAGAAGGACTCCCCTAAGTTACCCATGCAGGCCTTGAACTTGTTATTCTCCTGCCTCAGCTTCTCAATAACTAGGATTATATACCTATGCCACCATGCCCAGTTTCATTACCTTGATTTTTTTTTGAAATAGCTCAGACTGATTTTCAACACAATCTGTGTCCAGGCTGACTTCCAACTCTTTATGTAGCCAAGAATGGTCTTGAACTCTCAGTCTTCCCGCCTCACTTCCCAAGTGCTGGGAATAAGAAGTGCACCACCACGTCTGACTTCTCTGACTTTGTTACAGTAACATTTCTGAACATACTGAAAATTCGATGGCATCCAGTTGAAGAATGCTTATATTTCACTGCTTTTACTTTTATTTCTCTCTCTCTCTCTCTCTCTCTCTCTCTCTCTCTCTCTGTGGAAAGTTGCTCATGATAAATTGTGTGTGTGTGTGTGTATGTGTGTGTGTGTATGTATGCATGTCACTGAACACGTGGAAGTAGCTTTCAGTAGTCATGACACCCATAAAAATTTCAGGACATATTTCATCACAGTACTGTAAACACATCTGAGAAAAATTAGTATTTTCTTTTTATATCATGACCATATTCAGTTTTCTTTAGTGATATCTCACAAAAACTCCCTTAAAACTCTTTTGTCAGTTATTGTGTATTTTTTCTTGTATTTTCCAAACCATAATCCACCTAAGGTTCATGCTCTGCATTTTGCTGTTGATCTTCAAATATACAACATCTAAAAGTACAGTATCCATTCATGCACCCCTCATATTTTTATTTGTCTAAGATAGTAACTTTTTACATCTCTCTGTGTGGGTGGATGGGTCCATTCATGCCTTGGCACCTGTGTGGAGGTTAGAGGACAGCTTGTGGAGGTTAGAGGACAGCTTGTGAAGTTGGTTCTCTCCATTTGCTGTTTTTACATGGGTTCAGAGGATGAACTTGGGTCATCAGGCTTGCTATCAAGCACCTTTACCTTCTCAGCCATCTTGTCTGACTTTAAAGAGGCCAGGCCACATGTCTTATAAAACATTCGTATTGTGGAAGTTTCTGTATTTTTTTTCTCATGATATTGATATAATGTTAATTTGTTCTTCCTAAATGCATTTCTTATAAACTGGAATTTGGTCTGAAGACTTGATTTGAAATTTTGTTGTTGGAAGAATACTTAATAGAGGATGTTTCCTACTGAACATGACACAGAACAAGAGAGAGATTGACGCACTATTATGAATGCTAAGATTGATTGTGGAGGGGGCTGGAGAGATGGCTCAGCAGTTAAGAACACTAGTTGTTCTTGCAGAAGACCTGGGTTCAAATCCCAGCACGCACATGGCAGCTAACAACTGTCTGTAACTCCAGTCCCAGGGGATCCAACAGCCTCTTCTGACCTCCATGGGCACTGCACGATATGGGTGCACTTAGACCTACTTGCAGGCAATACACATATACACATAAAATAAAAATAATAAAATTAAAAAAAAAAGATTGATTATGGATTGAAGACTGTTAAGACTTTACCTCTCCATTAAAAAAAATTTTTTTTACCAAAAAATGTCGTTGGGGCATCATCATAGGGTTCTCTTATTCCCAAATAATTTTTCTCTTAAAGATCCACTCAGATGGTGTTTGGCTATCATTTGCTATGATCTCTAGCAGTTATAATCACTTTGGAAGAAGTGATGTGAGTGGCCACTAATCATGATTCACAGATATTATTGCACAGCAGTTTGTAAATTGAATTGACAGGCTAGCAGTAAAGTTTGTTCTTTATGCAGTTAAATATACCATAGTTACTGAAATGTAAATTGTTGAAGGTAGGCATTGTCTGACTAAGACCTGATAACATAAAACTTGTATTTAACTGTGTATGTATATTTTAAAATTACATATTTGAATCTTGGACTGGCTGGGTGTTAGGTTGCATTATAGGCAAATCGAAACCTAAACTTCTGTTTAATCTTTTATTCTAAAGTGTAGTCAGTGCACTAGTCCTTTGATATTGAACCTATCTTACTAATATTCAAGCCTTGAGAAAAACTGCAAATAATGAAGTCTTACTTTCCTACTTAACACTAAATTATGGTTCTTTGTGTGTGTATGTGTGTGTGTGTGTGTGTGTTTTTTTTTTTTTATCATTACAGATCGCATTTCAAAAGAGTCCAGCAAGGTTTTTGAAGATGTCCTTGAGAGTTTCTATTCAATTGACTGCATTAAATCACAGTTTGAAGCATGGCGTTCAAAATATTACATGTCCTACAAGGATGCCTACATCGGCCTTTGTTTACCAAAATTGTTCAACCCTCTTATCAGACTGCAGCTCCTCACTTGGACTCCTCTTGATGTAGGTGGCCTCTACCACTGTTTGAGGGTAATATAACCTGATTCCTGGGGGAGGTAGGGCATAGTGTATAATTAATTAAGGCAAACTGTACCTGGGATCTTTTTTTTAATTTTTTGTCCTTTTCCCAAGAGCTTTGTGATTTCAATTTATATATAATTTCATTCTTAGCTAAAATGATATATAGTAACATTGAGTTATAAGCATGAATAGTAGGAAGCTGGCCTTTGATCCTGAGGGAGCTTAGAACCTAATAGGAAAGCACAGTGGGGCAAGTGTGAAATGAGGACTTCACTGTTAGTGGTGATGAAGAGAGAGAAATAAAATAATAAATGTGGAGATGGAATCAGGAGAGACTGATATCTAGTATATAAGAGAGAAGACCAGGATTGACTATTTCATACCTAGTGGTAATGTTTAGGATTGTTTTTTTAAAAGATTTATTTTTTTAATTATGTGTAAATGTGTGTTTGAGTGTAGGTTTGTGCACATGAGTGCAGTGCCCACATAGGCCAGAAGAGTGCATTGAATCTCCTGGGGTTGAAGTCATAGTGTTTTGTTTCTTTTGTCCAGTGTTTGTGGATAGCCAACAACGAAATCTAGTTCCTATTACTCTTAATATGGTTGAGGGAAGAAGTAGCCACTATTTTAAATATTTGGGTAACTTTTTAAATATGTTTTAGGCAAAATGTCGTGACTTTGAGAATATGCTGTGGTTTGAATCTTTGCTGTTTTATGGGTGTGAAGAACGAGAACAAGAAAAAGATGATGTAGATGTTGCACTGCTCCCTACCATTGTGGAAAAGGTGATTCTTCCTAAACTAACAGGTAAATATGTCTTACAAGCTGAACATTCAGCTTATTGGTTTTCTCAAATGTGTTTCTGAGTGTTTAATCCATAGACTATCTTCTCACAGACATTACATGATACATGGTGGATAGCACCTGCCCCAGTGATGCTGAAGGGTAGAAACTTGAAAGGGGTGGGCCTAGAGTTGGCAGTAATTGATCAGCAGATGAGTTTCAAAGACTCCAGAGATTGCTTTATGCCAAGCTAGGTAGCTATTTGGGGGAACTAGGGAGCATATGCATGTCTGGGAAACAACTTTCTTCATTTCCTCAAAAGATTAGGAATAATTGATACAAGAACCTATTTTAAAATTAAAAAAAAAATTGAACTTGGATATATTAGATGCCTAAAGAACATCTTTTGGGATTCGGGGACATTCTCCCATCTTTGTAATAAGAAGTCTTGCCCGCTCTCTGCCTCTCTGCCCCTCAGGGTCCCTAATTAATTGGACCAAGGAGAATTCAGGCATGGCGGTGCACTTGGTCATCCCAGTAGTTGGGGATGGGGGCTGGTACCGCAGCAAGAAGACTCAAGACAGGTTTGAGGCCATCAGGGTCTCACTGAAGCTTCTGTTACAGAGGGAGCAAAAATTAAGAATTGGCATTTATAATTAAAGGACTATTTGACATTAGATTTAAGTAAGCTGCAATTTCTATAGTTTAACATCTTTTTTTCTTAATAGTGATAGCTGAAAATATGTGGGACCCTTTTTCTACAACACAGACTTCAAGAATGGTTGGAATTACACTAAAATTAATAAATGGATATCCTTCAGTGGTCAATGCAGAAAATAAAAATACACAGGTAATTTAATTCCTATGTTTGGGCAGTTTTTGTTTTCTTTTGAAAATGAGCCAAAGTTGGAGAGAATGAACGGATATTTTAATCCAGCCAGGGACCTGATTCTTCCAATAGGGCAATCTGGGCCATTAAAGAAGGTATTTTCAGTTTAGAAATCTATCTGAAAGAAGATGCTATTCGTCTATTATTGTACTGTGTCCTGCTAATACACCCCACTTCCAATTGTACTAGTCATGTCCCATTAAAAATTATTTCGTGGGAGAAAGTATAAACTTATTAAATAAATGACTTAAATTTAAATAGCATATTTAAAAGCAGCTAGATTTTTCTTTTTTTTTTTTTTTTAATGGTTAACATCCAAACTTCTGTTTGCTGCTCTCCTTCAATAGACACCTGTATGAGCTGGCAGGAAAGCACTCATGATCATTTTTGAATTTACACTGACCTCATTTTGAACATGTTTCATATTAAATCTTTATGCTATAGACTTGGGGTTGAAAGATTTGTAAATGGCTTTATTGATTAGTAATTCTTGAGGGGTCACCTAATACACTTGCATTAAAATGATTTAACATCACTCAAATGTATGATTTACTTTTAATTCTTTAGGTATACCTTAAAGCACTTCTATTGAGGATGAGAAGAACTTTAGATGATGACGTGTTCATGCCTTTATACCCTAGAAAGTAAGCAATTCCTAAGAACATTAAGCATAATCTCCATTCTCTTTGAGAGAACCTAAATTCTAAGAAAAATCAAGATAGCTTGGAATATAAACTTCCCTATGTAGTATAAAATAACCCCACAGAGACTGGGAAAATTGTTCTTTTTAGCAGGTAAGGCAACTATAGCTTTTGGTCTCCCACAGTATCTCCAAGCTCTTTGTTTTTGTCTTTTTGTTGTTGTTGTTGCTGTTTTCTGAGAGAGAGGGTCTTACATTATGTAACCCAGGCTGGCATGAAATAGTCTATCCTCTTGCCTCACCTTCCTGAATACTGGGATTACTCTGCCCAGCTTTCTGTTAATGTGTTATTTTTCCAGAATATAATTATTTAAACATTCTTCCTTCTCACTGCAGTCTCTCCATTTTTTCTCTCTCTCTCTCTCGCTCTCTGCTGGTCTGTTTCTCGGTCTCCCTTTCTCTTTTTTTTCTTTCTCTCTCTTTGACTCTCTCCCCTCTCCTCCCTCCTCTCTCCTTTCTGTTTCTGACTTTTCCTCTCTTTCCCCTCGTTTCCCCTGTCCTCCCCTTGACTCTGTGTTGATTCTGGCATGCACACCAGGTAGACACTCCACCACTGAGCCACCCCCCAACTCCATACTTTTTTTTTTTTTTACTTCTTTGACTTGTAGAAATTTTTGTTAATGAAAATTATGTGACAGTAAATATAAAATATTTGATCATGGTTTCTTTCTCTTTTTTTCTCAGTGTTTTAGAAAATAAAAATTGTGGGCCTTACTTGTTTTTCCAGCGGCAGTTTTGGTCTTCGGTCAAGGTACACATCTGTAGGCCATCTAAAACCATTCAGATTTTGACTTTATATGTTATGTTTTGGAAAGTATTTTTATTTTGTATGAATTCTGAAGCTTCTATCTATGTATATATACAAAAACTTAATCTTAAAACCTAATACTATTCCAAAAGTTTGTTCAGTTTGGAATTCTCACAGAGGAAAATGAATTCTGAGTTTCAAAGTAAGGCCTGTGCAGCCCAACAAACTGCCTGACTTAGCCACTTCTAATTTATTCAGCAAGTAGAACACCAGGTGCTCTCCTATGTCTTAACAGTCCAGCACAATTGACAGAGCAGACAGATCATCAGAGATGTGATAAGTGACAAAGGGGAAAGCTCAAGGGAGTCAGGAGATGAGATGGGAGACTAGCTAGTTTCAAGAGGAGCGCCTCTTCCTCTGCCAGGAAGTGATACTTGGGCCTCAGATAAACAAGAGCAGACATGATGAGAGATACTGAAAAATAGTAGAGGATGGCTAGAGTTAGGGAAGCAGTAGAGAAGCTCTAGTAGGGTCATGTGAAAACTGTTTTCATCTTAAGGCTATAGGAAGCCATTAGATTCCCTGTCCATTTCTCTTCAAATAATTTACATATCCCTTAGAGCATCGTTCTCAGAGTTCTGATCTAATACAGTTGTCAACACTTTTACAAGTGTAAATAAAGGATATACAACCCTTCCTGTGTCACCCCAGAATTCCCCTTTGTAGTTTTAGCTCACTCCTGATTCCCCTTTGTAGTTTTAGCTCACTCCTGGCTACCTCCCCACCTGTTTATGTTTTATGGTTTTCTTTGTAATAATGTTTTATCAATGGAATTACACAGTAGGGAGCCTTTGGAGCCTGGCTCTTCTCACTTGAGTGTTTGATTCATTTGGATTATGTGTTACCAGTAGTTTGCTGCTTTTTCCTGCTTCATTCGTCATAAGCTGAATAGGCAGTTTGAGCTTTCGTTATTTTTTATTTTATGTGTGTGAGTGTATTGCCTGCATGTATGTAAGTGTATCTGTGTTGTGCAATGCCTGTGGAAGTCAGAAGAGGGTGTTGGATTCCCTGGAACTAGAATTAGGGATGGTTGTTAGCCGCTAGAACCTGGGTCCTATGCAAGAGCAGCTAGTCCTTTTAACTACTGAGCTGTCTCTCCAGCACCTATTTAAAAATTTTTTTTATGTGTATGATGCCTACATGTGTGCAAGTGTACCACGTATGTACAATGTCTGAGGAAGCTAGAAGAGGATGTTGGATCCCCTGGAGCTGGCAGTTGTTAGCGACCACGTGGGTGCTGCAGACAACCTGTGTCGTCTGCAAGAGCAACCAGTGCTCTTAACCACTGAGCCATCTCTCCAGCCCCTTGTTATTCTTACTGATTTGTGTTTTATCCATTTCCTAATTATTGGAAATTTGGATTGTTTCCAGTTTGGAGAAATTATGAATAAAACTGCTATAAGTGTTTTCTGCATGTATGTTTTTATTGCACTTGTTTAAAAAGACGAGGTGAAGCTGTTTTCCAAAGTGGCTGTGCTGTTTGCATCTTCACCAGCAGCATAAGAAGGTTCCAGTTACCCCTTACCATTTTCCATATTGTCAGTTGTGTTGAACCTGATTGCGTGTGGTCATTTGCCTTCTGTGTTTGTTCTGGAGAGACGTATCCCTTTTGCTTATATTTTAAATTGGCTGTTTTCTTGCTGAGCTTAGAGTTCTATATTCTGGAGAGACTGTAGATGATTTGCAAAGAGCTTTTGTCTGGTTTGTCTTTTCATTTTAATTGTTTACTAAGTATTCTATGTGCAGAAGTTCTTGTGAGTTTTGTTTTTGTTTTTGTTTTTGCTGCTGCTGTTTTTGAGATAGGGTTGCATGTATCCCAGGCTAACTTCAGACTGCTTTGTGGCCAAGGGTGACCTTGAATTTCTAATCCTCCTACCTGCATATCCTGGAATTACTGGTGTATACTGCCACTCCCAGTTTGTGCTGTACTGGGGATTGAACCCAGGGCCTTATGCTAATACTAGGCAAGCACTCTACCACTGAGCCACATTCTTAGCCTCAGAAGTTCTTAATTTTGATGAAATCCAAGTTGCTTAGGGAGCCATACTTCGAAATCTGTTAATAGACCATAAAATCTTCCTCCTGTCCCTTGAAGTTTTGCAGCTTTAGGTTTTACATTAGTTCTCTAATCTGTTTGAATTTTACCATAGGAATGAAGCCTGGATTAAGGTTTGTTTCAGCACCATTTGTTGCAAAGACAATCCTTTCTCCATTGAATGCTTTATAGCTTTGTTGAAAATTTGTTGACTAGATCCATGAGGGTCATGGATGTGTGTTTAGCACAGAATGAACATAAAATTGCTATTTTAAAGAGTACTTTGTGTGCTATATGGAGCTAATTGGTTAAAGGATTTTGAGAATGGTGATGAAGAAAATTGGGAACTAGTTTTTGTTGTATATTGAGTATATGCCACGCACCCTTTGTATTGATCCCTCAGAATGACTCTGTGAAGTAGACACTTTCTCTAATTTCCTTGGGTAGGTCAGAGAGGCACAGACTGGCTGCAGTGCCATTCCATTGGTAATGATAGAGAACGAAATCGTTCAGGCTGGTCCCCCTCTTGAGTAGCTCTTAACTGGGCTGCCACAAGAGAATTAATTCTAAATACCCTAAAACCTCCATTTCATGTAATGAATTTTCCTCCAGAAAGGTACTTAGCTATGAATTAGTAAAATCAAGCAGAGAACTCAAGTTCACATGCTCATCACTGGAGGACTGTAGGATGCAGAAAGAGATGAGAATGGCTGAGATTTGTGGGATATCAGGGAGTTAAAGAAAAGGACTGTCCGATTACTTGAAGGCCAAGAATCACCTATGGCACTTCTGGCCTAAGTAGTTAGTTGGTTATCTAGTGTTACCATTTACTAAAGTGAGAAAGGAGTGGGAACTCGAAATGGTTATAGCAGGGTGGGATGGGGCTTCCATTTTATACTAGTTTTCATTCTGTGTATCTTGAACTTGAACAGCTTGAGCTGTTTAGGGGATGTAACTCGGTTCAGACTTGTGAGATTTGTTAGCCATGCCCTGTTATAGTCAGAAAAAAGATACAGCCAATCTTTCTAAGAGGGTCATTGTAATAACTGAGGGATGATTTAAAACTTACCTTAGATTGACGTTAACTTGAGAATACTTTTTGCGTTGATGGGAAATGTTCTGTGTGTATGCTGATCAATGTGCAGCCACTAGCTGTGCTTGTTCACATTTAGCTAGTTAAAATTTAAAGTTAATCCCTCATTCTTGGAAATAGTCACTTTTAAAGTGTTTATTAATACATTGGCAGAGCATGCTTCCTCTCTTTTAAACTGGTGCTTTACTGTGTAATATTCTTTGTACTTATTTTAATAGCTTTAGCTTGACAATGCTACTTATTCTTTTTATTCTTTCTAGCTGTTGGGAAATTTTCTTCAGTGGTATGGCATTTTCTCAAATAAAACACTTCAGGAATTATCAATAGATGGTTTGTTAAATCGATACATCCTCATGGCCTTTCAGAATTCAGAATATGGAGATGACAGCATCAAAAAAGCCCAAAATGTGAGTTGGTTAGCATATATTGTAGTCAAAGTGATTTAAGTTTTCTTTGTTTGAAGAAGAATATGAGAATTTTCTAAACCTCCCTTTGATAATTGTATTTGCTTTCAGTATACCTACCCAGATAGTCCCAAATGCACATCACTTCTTTTTTAAATTTTTTTAGACAGGGTCTCCCTGTAGCCCCAGCTGGCCTGGAACTAGCTAGGTCGACCAGGCTGGCCTTGATCTCACAGAGATCTGCCTATCTCTGCTTCCTGAGTGCTGGGCCTAAAGGCATGTGCCACCATACCTGGCTCACCTTTTTTTTTTTTTTTAACATGAAAATATACACATGATCTTTCAAAAGGCCAGGAAGTGATACTTGAAAGTATACCTGTCTGATTTTGTGAATATTTGTATAGACACCGACTATTTTGGAACTAATTTTTTTCATAGTGGAATGTTATTTTGAGTAACTGAGAATAACTGCTTTTTTCCTCATTCAACTTTAATATTGGCTGGCTTTTCACTGATAGTTATGGATTATATAATGTGATAATTTAAAAATATCTATATTTAACAAGCATAAAATGAATAAGAATTTAAGTAGCAGTGTAAAGTTTTTTTTTCCCCAGAACCACCATCAAAATAAATCTACACTATGCCCTACAGCCCCACATATATTTGTGTATATTTTCTACAAGCCTGAATGTTACTCTACATGAATAAAATATAGCCATTAATATTAGGGCTGACCTATTCCTGTTACCTGATCCTTAGTATCCCATCTGAATGCATATTTTGTCAGTTATGTCAAAAATCCTTCACTGGCAAAAGAAATGCACAGATTATGCATTTCATTTCATCAGAAGCCTTAGGTGGGGCTAGTGGCACTTAAATCCCAGCACTGGGAGGCAGGGGTAGGTAGATCACTGAGTTAGAGGCCAGTCAGAGCAGCATAGGAAGCCCTTTCTTTAAAAACAAAAAACCAAGCCTCTTCAGCCTCCTTTAATCTAATAGAGTGCTTCTGACACTTTCGAAGATGATAGGCCAGTTACTTTGTAGTGCATTCAGTTTGGGTTTGTCTGATAATGCCAGTTTGGGTTTGTCTGATAATGCTCTTGATTCATTTCAAGTTCTGCATCTTTTGCAGAGATTGTTCTGTGTTCTCTGTATGAGGAATCCCTAAAAGTAAACTTCTGCAATTTTATGTCTCCTCATTTTAAGAGTGTTTTCTTTCTGGAATGAGATGGTTTGGCTCCTTTTGTGCCTGCTCTGTTCCAGCCTTGGTACAGGTCATTGCCCTAGTAACCCCTGGGTTCTTGTAATGGTGAGCCTTCTTTATCTATCTAGATTCTGTATCCATATTAGACTGTCCTCCCAGGAGGGAAGCAGCCTTGTTCTTGTTAGGTCTTGAATGGCAGGATGTTACAATAGATACCATGTTGTCTGTGCTGAGGCTTTTGCTGAGGGCTCTGCCTCTGCTGTAAATATTCTCTTAACGTTATTTTGGGCCTGCTGGGCTCCTGCCATATTCAGGAAAGGGAGAGGCTAATTCCATATCTATACATATGTTTTTACAAGAACTTGATTTACTTAAGTCATGTTGGAAAACGGAAAAAAATGAAGCAATTGGTTATCAATTTCAAGTCTCTAAATACTTGACAGTATCAGAGCTATTATAATAAAGAAATTGGTATATTGGCACAGTAAATGTAAAACATCAGTTTAAAAAATGCACTCCATATAGTAAACTATAGTAAGTCATAATCATTATCTGGACTTTACTTTTTGACATTTCCATTTATTCTGTTCTAACAATTCTATTTTGCATCTTCTACATAGGTAATAAATTGTTTCCCCAAACAGTGGTTTGTGAATCTGAAAGGAGAAAGAACTATTTCTCAGTTAGAAAATTTTTGCCGATATCTTGTACATTTAGCAGATACAATTTACAGAAATAGCATTGGGTGCTCTGATGTGGAAAAAAGAAATGCAAGGTAAGGTTTTTTTTAAACAGAATAATCTAGACTTGTCAGATTTAATATTATTAAATAAGTAGTCATTTTAATTTGACTTGTTAATTTTAAAATTTATTCTTTGACAATTTCATTACATTATATATTATATATAAGCTATACTGTGTATTTACTGTTACAAACCTACAAAAATATGCATAATTTTTGTTTGTGCCCGTTTTGTGTTTTCAGTATGTTAAATCTGTCAAGGAAAAGAGTTAGGGTAAGGACCAGCCCCAGGGCAGTGAATAAACTTGGTTTTTTGGTGTGTCTCCTATGTTAAGAATTAAGTAGATTTGCAGAATGCAGTGAGCTTTGGTCTTTTGAGGTTTCCGTATATGTATGTAAACCCTGAGAAAAATGTCCATTTAGATCTAGAGTGTATTGAAGGTGTCTCTCAGTTTTAGAGCCTTCATGTTCCAGGTTGAGGGTTTTGTTTTGTTGTTTTGTTTTAAATTTACATCATGGACCAAAAGCCACCTCATGATTATTTTGGGACAACTTATATTTAATTTTCATAAAAAATTAACTAGGAGCTGGGCATGGTGACACAGGTCTGTAATCCCAGCTAGTTAGAAAAGTGAGGTAGGAGTATCTTAAGTTCAAGGTCTACCTCATCTCACTTCAGAGTGAGCTTATGGCCAGCCTGAGCCATCTTAGTCACAAAATAAAAAGGTTTGGGAATGTATCAGTGATAGAATACTTGCCTAGCATATGGGACGCCCTGGCTCTAATCACACCAGAACTGCATAAGGAAAAATTGCTAGGACAGAATGAGCAAAGGAGTATCTTTCTGTGGACAGTAATTCCATTTGGTAATAAACATTTATTATAAAAGTATGTAATAATAACTATTTGAAGTAATTTTCTTTTTAAACTTCTGATTGCCTATTTTTTCCTGTCAGTATTGCTTAAGTCTCAGCATAAGTGTACACATGTAAGAACTGTTTTGTGTTCTCATTCCGAGTTCTCAGAAAAAGAACCTTATTCCCCTAAGAGAAAGTTTTCTTTTGCAATAAAATTAAAAGCAGAGAAGATGGTAAAACTTTTTAATGGCAAATTCTTAGCAGAAGATATTGATTTACGTTTTTTGTTGTTGTTGTTAAACTTTGGTTTCCATATAGCAGCAGCAGCACAACCCGGGAGCATGTTAGACATGCACTCCCATGTTCCCTGTACTGAATTCAAACTCTGGAATGGGCAGGTTATCTGTGTTACACACCCTTTAGGAAATTCTGGTGTTGCTACAATTTCAGAGTTCTTCAAAATGAGATAGAGTGACTTCTAGCAGTGATTCGGAGAGCCAGATTATGCTTTGTTAAGTGAACTTGAGAGGAGTAGACATTTCAAGAGTTTTGTGTTTCAACTGTACTCCAAAAGGGCTGGGTTTCTGGTTGGGGAAGGAAAGGGAGACAGGACTTAGAGGAGTCTGAGAGCATACCGCTTTCTTTTTATAGATATTAATGAATATCTTACCTGAGTGAAATGTTTTTTCTGTTTTAGAAGTGAATTACCTGTTTCTGGGCCAGACATTTAAACATGTTTCATTTTATATGAATAAAAATTAAATTAAAATTTTTTTTCATTAATTTTGTTGTGGGAGCATTGTGTCAAGAGGGCAGTTTTCAGGAGGTGGTTCTTTCCTTCTACCATGTCGAATCTGGAGAGCTATTCAGCTGGTTAGGCTTGGTGGCAAGCACCTGAGCACACAGCCATCTCTGTGGCCCTGCAGATATTTTTAAACGTGTGGTGGTTTTGCATGTCTTTGTTTACCATATTAAAAGTATGTGCAGAATCTCTTCAGGTAGTCACAGAGTCAAGATCAGATTTGTGTCTTAAATGTACTAATGAGATGTTGCTGCATTTTTCTCTTTTAGGGAGAACATAAAACAGATAGTAAGACTTCTTGCAAGTGTTGGAGCTTTGGATCATGCTGTGTCTGTTGCAAGTGACCACAACGTGAAAGAGTTTAAATCTTTGATTGAAGGAAAATAGAACCATGAGACTAAAAAGCCTCTTTGCTTTAGTACCATTCCCAGTGTGTAAATTTTGTATATATGTAAAGTTTCTTAAACTGTAAGATACTAATTCTTGTTTTAATACAAAAACATATACTGTGTCCTTAAATGTGATTTCTTCAGAATGAAAGGAATTCAGATTATTTGTAGGAGTCTATGACTGTTTTCCTTCCTGCCTGTCATATTTTGTTTACAGAAGTATTTTGTATGGTCATTAAATTAACCCTCTCATTTAACTGTCCTCTATAAATGATGTTGTGCAGTGTAAATTGTGTAATTATGCATATATATATTTATATCACCATGGATTTTCACACCGGAAATTTGCAGTGTTTTTCTACAGAGGAAGCCTTTTAACAGCAGAAAATTATCCAGTAGCAAATTGTCTTAGGGAAATACTATACTGTTGCAACAAAAGGGCTGGCAAGTGACTATAAATGTTCATCCCCTTTTGGTTAGTGTTGCTGTCACTGTAGCTGTGCTGCCTTAAAATGAGGGCTGAGTTATGATCTTAGTCATTGAGTGAATGTCGAACTTTCTTCTTCAAGTCAGCATTATAGGCAAATGTGGGTTAATGTGAACTCTTAAGTAATATATGCAGTATAGTTTGAGGTGGAACATTAGTTTAGTTTTTAATAATAAGCCTACAAGCTAACTGCATGGTTTAGGCCAACTGTCCTTTCCCATTCATGATTTTACTTCCTGATCAGCTTATAGTTATATGAATTTTGGTAGTCTGTCATAATCCCACATATGTGAGTTATATATGCAATAAAGAAACGCCTTGCTGATTAGCCACACCTAAGCAGTTTACTATCCATGGTCTTCTATAATGTTTATACCACATTGTAAATATTCAGAGAAACTTGTTTTAAAGTTTATGCTTTCTGACTCTGTGATTTTCAAAAGATGAACTTTTTGGAAATTAAGGATTATTGTTTGATATTATATATGTAATTAAGCTTTAGCCAAGCATTAAATTAATTTTTAAATACGTCCTTTGTTGTATTTACTGGTGACTAATTTGAGAGCATTTTAAATGATTCATATAGTGAGACTGTTAGTACTCTTGGGCAAGGCAAATACTATTTAGGACAGTGTCATGCCCTCATTCTCCATCAGTTCTATCTGTATTGTAGGAACATGGCTTAGCTCCACATAATCATTATTTTTGTTATATCTTAATGGCCTCCTAAAGTGGAGTTAAACTTCAGAACACTCATTCTCAACTTCAATGGAATAAAACACAAAAATGTTTGTGCCTTCAACTGTGTTTCCAAACTCATTAGATTAATTGCTCTTCCTATATCTGTTTTTAATAACATAATAAACTAAGATTTTTTTTATCCTATGAAATCTACCAAACTTCAGTTTTAGGAATGGGTTTGAACACTATCCTAGGACTTGTGATACAAAGTGGATTTAGCATATTACTGTGTATTCAAAAAGTGGTTTTGGTATCTCCAGAAAATTTGTATTCTGAAAATGACTAAAGAACATTATTTCTCAGGAAGGGAGTAGCTATGATAGTGTCACAGATGAGCTGAGCAATTTAAAACATGTAAGCACTAAGCGCTGCAGGCCAGAGACTGCAAGTGTCAGTAGGACCATGCACCCTGAGAAGGATCTGGGCACAATTCCCACCTCTTCAGTTTCTAGCGGCTGCTGATATTCCCTGGCTTGTGGTCACGTTGCTCCAATCTGCCATCTGTCTAATTTCTAATCATTCTGTCTAATCATTGTGTCTGATTTTCCTCTGCCGCCTCCGAAAGGATACCTGTGATTTCATGTAGATCCTACCTGGAACGCCAAAACAGTCTCAAGGTTCTTAATCCAGTCATTCTTTGCAGGCTTGAAGTATTAGGATCATTTCTGGAGGGGGTTTTAAGTCAATCTACCATAAAGACACTTTAAACTTCAGTGAGAATTGTGTAATTATTTTCAGATGCTCTAACAAAGCATAAATAGGAAAGGGACAAGAAAAAAAATTTTTAAGGCTACTAGTAATGTTTTTCAAATCCTGTTTATTTCGTGACAACCTATTTTGAAAGGATTTGGAAAAGCTATGACAAAACTGAGTCCTGCAACCTTCCAGTTTAATGTGAAGAAAGCAGTAGCAATTGCAACCCAGAAGTTTGGCCTTCCACTTCCTTAGTTCAAAAAGAAAGACTAAGAACATTTGCTTCAGAGAGCCTGGTGCCCATGATTCCCACCCCAAGAAGGGGACCTGGCAATGATGTAGTAGGCTCAGTGATTTTTAAGGTAGAAAGTGATGGGTTGTAAGCAAGTTGTTTTTCCGCCCCCCGATTGAGCTCTACTGGCAGTGATTTCAGCTGTCACTAAAAGAAATTCTTAGGGTTGGGGATGTAGCTCAGGTGGTAGAGTGTTTGCCTGGGCATGCAGGAAGCTTCCCTAGGGGTTCAGGGCCCATCACCACATCAACCAAATGCCAGCCTGAGCTTCATGAGTTTGTCTCAAAAACCAGAAAGGCAATGCAATCCAGTAACCCTCCTTCCTGAAGCCTTTTCATTATTGATGGTGCATATAAAACAAAAAACACTAAAAAACAAAATAACAAAAAACAAACAAACAAAAAAAAAAAAACCCTCTTCTCACCAAAGGTTTTTCTATCAAGTATCTCTTCCTGTGCTGGATAGTTTTAGTTGTCAACTTGACAGTCCTGAGTTGAGGGAGCCTCAACTGGGGAATTGACTCCATTGAACTGGACTGTGACCATGTCTGTGAGGCATTTCTTGATTGTTGAGTGATGTGGGAGGGCCAAGGGCCCAGTCCACTGGCAGTGCGCTCCCCCTTTTCCTCCCCAAGTTTGTATTGATCATTGTGTTTTGTCACAACTGAAAACAAGAACACATCCCTAATTGAAATGGATGCTCTTTGAAAGCAAAGTGACTAACCACAATCCAGTAGATTGTAATTAATTTTAAGGTTACTGTGAGTAACCACAACAAAAAGCAAGTCTTTTAAGGAGACTAAAGAATTTCTAGGACCGGAACGACATCCAAGTGTTAATTCTCCTTGACTTGGAGGTGGCCTCTCTTATGTACGAAATTTGTCTTAGTATTTGGAAACCGGAGTGGATTTGGCTTCTCTAAAATGGAGAAATGTTAAGTCACATGACAGTCTGGAAGGGGAAATGATTTTGTGTAACTCATCAAATTTAAATTGCGCTTCTCCTGAAAAAAAAAGTGGGGGAAGAGGTTACAAAAAACAAAGCGGAAATTTTGAGTGATGGGTATTTCAGGCTTTCGATTCCTTTCTAAAGCCCTGTGGCTTCAACTTCCTTCGGTCTTTAAGCCCCTGGAATGAAAACAATAGTTCTTTGGAACACAAATCATACCCAGGCGTGATTATGTTGAGAGATGGTGCTATGGAAGGCTTTGATGCCGTTCATACAAAATTCCGTGGCTGGCAAAAGCTGTACATCACTGAATGACAGCCATGTTTTTAACTGCCTGGAGCTCTTGGTTGGCGATTTCTCACTGCACCGTGTACAGTGGCGCGCTCTTCACAGCTCTGAGCTGCAGGAACACGAGAACTGCCGGGGCGTGTGCAAGGCAGGCCTCGTGAGACACCATGGACAGCTCTCCCAGTCGGCCCGGAGGAGGCGGCAGGGGGTGGTCCCGACGCCCGGCTAGGGCACGAATCAACACCCGGCCCCCACCGCTCGTCCCCGGAGTCCCTCCCTGGAGTCGCGGAAGGGCTGGCGAGCTCCGAGAGCCCACTCGAGGAGGCCGGATCCCTCTCTCCCCGCCACCCGAGCGGCGCACAGCGCAGCGTCGCGGAGGGAGGTCGCGACGGCTACTGACCACCGCAGCCGGTAGGCGACAGAGAAACCCAGCGGCCCCGAGTGGGCGGAAGTAGCTCCGCCCCTTCACCTCGAGGGGCGGACCTTCCGCCCCCGGCGGAGGCGCAATGCGGAAGAGATGGGTCTTTTGGAGCGGAAGTGACGCTTCTGGTGGCTTTGGCGGCGGCGGCAGCGGCAGCGGGAGGAGGAGGAGGAGGAGCCGCAGGAAGAGGTGAGGCAGCGGGAGTGAGCGGGGGAGGGGGGGGTGGGGAGCGGCCAGAACATCGGCGGCCGCAGGGTGCGCCGACGCTTCCTGAGCAGTGGCCGCCGCCGCAGCCTGGACGCGAGCGGTGAGGAGCAGCCGCGGCCGGGTGGTCTATGGGCGCGCGGGCAGCGGAACTGAGAGGAGACCCCGGGCGGCTCCGGTGACAGCGGCTGTCACTCTGCGGGCGGGAAAGAAACCCAGTCCGCCCAGGCATCTCTTCTGGGGCATAATGGAGGCGTCGGGCTGCCCGGCGCCTGGGTTCCCCCGGGAAGGAGCCGCCTCCCCCGGCTGCCCGGCCCCAGTGAGCCGCGTGGACCCCTGGGTCGCGACGGCCGGCGCTGGGCGGGCGGCGGCGGTCACCTGTGCGGCTTCCCTGCCCTTCGCCGCCCTGGGGAGCCTGCGGTGGCGGCTAATCCTTGCCCTCCCGGCCCCTAAGGAGCTTTGCACCAGCCCGGGTTCCCTTCCCTTCACCTCCACGCCTTTCCTGCAGAGGGAGTCCGATCAGCTCTAAGTTTCCACAGTCCCCTTCTAACGTGATGACAAATATGTGAAGCAGGAAGCGGATAAACAACCCCGACGGAAAATAAGGCTCGGAATTCTTCCTGTGATTAAACGTGAATGAAATGGGAAACTCATCATAACCAAACCAGGACTTGGAGTGTGTGAAAACCCTGCCTTGAGAATCGCTCGCTTTCCCTTTTGCGTTTCAGTAAAATTTAGTGACGACTTATCTTTTGGAATAAATCACTCTCCCCAGCTTCCTTTTTCTCCACCCCCACCCCCACCAAAACTTGGCAGGGAGGGACCCTGGATGTCTTGCAGTGCTTGCAGCAGAAGGAAGCCTCAGCTTCATTGCCTTGGCTTGGTTTTCACAGGGCCGCTTCTGAAGAAAGGAGAATGGCGTTCAGCAAAGGATTTCGGATCTACCACAAACTGGACCCGCCACCTTTCAGCCTCATAGTGGAAACCAGGCATAAGGAGGAATGTCTCATGTTCGAGTCTGGGGCTGTGGCTGTGCTCTGTAAGTCATGTGTTCTAACCCAACTGATCACGGTCTCTTGGTTTGGTTTGTAACTCAAGATTCAGCAGTTTAAAAAAAAGATTGTTGACAGCCTTCTGACTAAATGTCATCTGGCAGATGATGCTTTTTAAAAATTTTAACCAAATCTTTATTTTCCTGGAAACTCTGTTAGATTTTTGTTGGGGGTGCAGGACAGATTTTGTTGACATGATTATGTTTTTCTTCTATCTTTTTCTCAAATGTCATTGCTGTTTATGTGTTATTACAGTAACCTAAAGATAGCTAATTTTACTGTAATGCACAAAATTTTTGTAGGTCACTTATAGTAGTAGTGATATTATCATTTTCTGTATACCTTATGTTTAACCCTCACATTCTCCCCTTTCCTTTTATCATTATTATTTTGCATCTGTGCATACATGCGTGCCTGTGCATGTGACACTGGGAGGTCAAATCCAGGGCTTCAGTCATACTAGGCAAGCACTCTTCCACTTACCTACTTCTCCAGCCTAAGTCTTTATATTTCATTAAGACAGTGCAAGCAGCTTCTAAAATCTCACGTGAGATATGTGATTGATTTCATATTATTTCTAAATGATTTTGGTTTTAAAGAAAGGAGTACATATTGAACCACAATGAAAACAATGGAGTTTTGGTTATATGGTTATATGAAAATAATAAAGTTTGGGTTATATGGTTATATGAAAATAAAAAGACTAATTTGAACATTAGACTTCATTCTTTTAAAAAAAAAAAGTGGGGTTTTTTTGTTTGTTTTTATATTTAGTTATTTGTGTGTGAGCAGAGGCACATGTGGAGGTCAGATGAGAACTTGTGGGAGGGGGTTCTCTCCTTCCATCATATAGGTTCCAGCGATAGAACTCAGGTTTTCAGGCTTGGCAGTAAGTGCCTTTACCCAATGAGTCATGTTGCTGGCCCTGCATCTCCAGCCCTCTTTGTTATATTTTTGCTCAGCTTATTGATCATATTTTTATAGATTAAAAATAATGCTTGGGTTGGGAAGATGGCTTAGTGGGTAAAGGGCTTGCCATGCAAGAAAGAAGACTTGATCTCAGGACCCACATGAAAGCCTGGCTTGGCATTACATGCCTGTAATCCCAGTGCTGAGGAAGCAAGAGACTGTAGGGCCCTGAGGCTTGCTAGACATCTAGTCTAGCCAAATTGGTGAGCTCCAAGTTCTATCAGAGACTGTCTTAAAAACTAAGGTGGAGCCGGGCGTGGTGGCGCATGCCTTTTTTCGCAGCACTTGGGAGGCAGAGGCAGGCGGATCTCTGTGAGTTCAAGGCCAGCCTGGTCTACATAGTGAGTTCCAGGGCAGCTGGGGCTACAGAGACTTTTTCTCAAAAAAGACCAAAGGGGGGGTGGGGCGAATAAGGTGGAGAGCTATTGAGGAAGATGCCCAATATCAACACTTCTGGCTTCTGTGCACGCGCACACAAACAGACACAAATGTTGGAAAGACATTCTTACCAATATAAACCTTAAATATTTCAAAGATTAAACACTCTCTAGATTCAATAAGTAGACAGCATAAGATCCTAACCTTTGCATACAAAATATTAATATTGGTTAAAGTATAACTTGATTAAAATAGTAAAATTTTATCCTGATGGAGAAAATGGTAGTGACATAATGGAAAATCTTAAGCACAGAACAAAGTACAAGATATATGCTTATTTTTGGTACATGTATTAACGTGTTTTGAAGGAGAGGCAAGGGGCTAAGAAAAGGTGTAATATTCAGTATGAACTTAATTGCTCCAAATTGGTTCTTATATTTTAATATCCTGAAAAATACCTCACTCTAGTGTTAATCCACATAGCATATGTTTTCATACTACAAATGTAGTTCTTATACTAAGGACTATTGAAATAAAAACAGGCATAGACAGGTTTGGTTTAGTAATGTAAAATGTTTCTCAGTGGCCTATGTTTTGGTTGACGTTACCTAATTTATTAATGCTGTCTAAATTCCAATATTAAATGTATTACTCATAATCATAAGTCATTCTATCACTATTTACCTATAGTTTTTAGGATTATTACTATACTTTATTCCAAGGTTAGGAAACCTAAGAATTCTCATACTTCTAAAACCTCCAGCTGCTATCTTTTTATGCCAAATAATGGTTTTAAAAAGGCTCCAAAACTTCCATTTTGGCATTAGTATTTATTTTGGGGAGGAAGAATATTAATATTTTCTTAAGATTTATTTATTTATTTGTAGTGGTAGGGACTAAACCTATGTCTTCCTGCATACTAGGCAAACAATCATCACCAAGCTAGGTTCCCAGCTCTTAACTGTTTCTTAATTCTATTTGTCTTTATTAGATTTAAACTGTTTAAGTAATTCTCTCAGGACAAAAAAAGTTTGAATATTGCTTCTCTCTGTAAAACTAACATATTGGATATACTCTCCTGATCATGTTATCTTTCCTACTATAAACTTTACAGGAACACTGAACAAATGCTTAAATTTAACTTTTCATTATTACATAAAAATGTAAAAATTGCACAAAAATTGCACAAGTGACTATACCACATGATGTTTCAACATGAGTATACATTATATAATCTTTAAACGAGGTCATTTATTTCCTGAACATTTATCATTTATAGTGAAAATGCAAAATCCTTTATTCTAACTTCTCAAAATATACAGAACATTATTAACTGTGGGTACTTTACAGTGCAATAGTAAAACATTAATATTTAAAAGCTAACCTTTTAGATAATTTGGCTTATGACATCAATTAGATGCTAGGTATTTTGATGCGCATCTGTAATCCTAGCACTCAAAAGACTAAAGCAGAAGTATCATGAATTTGCAGCTATCCTGGGCTACATACCGATATCTGTCACACAAAAAAGTAATTTGACATTTGATTTAGAGTGATAACAAGGTATATGTTGTTCTGTATAATGTTTGATTTTTAAAAACAAACCTTGAGAATTTTTAAATGGCTGTTGCATTCAAGAGGCTATTTGGAAGGTCTGGATGTGTTCTTTTTACCTTCCGTGTTCCCAGCCCTATGATCATTACATCCTGCATATCAGTCTACAAGAAAAATCCTTTAAAGTTATGTTATATAATATATATTAAGTCAAAGTATAACCCTGTTTTTGTAAAATTTTGTTTTTATTGTATGTATATATGTTTTGCCTACATGTATGCATGCAAAGCCTGTGGAGGCCAGAAGAGGGCGTCAGATCTCCTGGAGCCAGAGTTACAGCCAGCTGTTAGCTATCATGTGGGTGCTGGGATCCAAACCTGGGCCCTCTGCAAGAGCAGCCAGTGCTGCTCTTAACCACTGAGCCATGTCTCCAGACTCGAACTGGATAAAATTCAAGCTTCTCAGCCTGCTTAGCAAGGTCTTCCATAATTTTGCTCCACTCTTTCCAGTGATGATTTCCTTAAGGAGACTGGTGTCTCTTCAGTGTTCCCAAAATACCATGAATTCTTCAGTCTTCATAATGTTCCTTGGTAGTCTTTCTCCAAAACCACATTTGCTTTTTCTACCTTTGTGATCTAAGCCTGCTGGTCCTATGCAAGTCTTCCATCATGAGAATATGTGCTACCCAGTACAGCTTGCCCTTGCTCTCCTGCCCTTTCATTTCTGTGCAACTTACTGTACTCCACCAGATGAACACCTTTTATGTGTAGTTTTGTCATTCTTGTGTGCAGGGTTTTTTCTTAAAATAGATGGTGAAAAGAAGTCTAGCAAGAGTTGATTTTCATAGGCCAGGCATAGTGGCATTTGCCTTTAATCTCAGGTGAGTTCAAGGCCAGCCTGATATACAAAGAGAGTTTGAAGCCAGCCAGGGCTACACAGTGAGACATGTCTCAAAAAAAGAAAAAAGAAAAGCAAAGGAAAAAAGAGTTAACCGTCTCTAGTTACCTTCGGTTTAAAGAGTAAAGTTTCAAAAATTAGACATTTCAGACAACTCACAGAGCTGGAGATTGGCAGTCTCTTAATTTTCTTAGTTTATGATAAAAGTACCCTAAAATACCAAACTCAGAAGTCTTATCTCTAATGTCATCAGCATATACGAACCCAGTTGCAAGTGAAAATGAAGTGAACATGGTTTCAGACCATAAATCCCGTGAGAAACTATCCACTGATCAGCCTTAGGACTCTGTCCTTAATGTTCTGTTGGTAGGATTCCAATTGAAGTCAGCCATATGCTATGACTTTATGTCTTAATCAAATGAGCCAATGTTTGGGGGTTTTGTTTCCATTTGGCTCTTGTTTTAGGTTTTTTTTATGACAAAATCTCATAGCTTAGGCTGACCTTAAACTCGCTGGTAGCTGGTGATGACCTTGAACTCTTGGTTCTACTGTCTCTACCTCCTAAGTGTTAAGCCAATGTATCCCAGTCTGAGCCAATGATTTTTTCTATAGATAGACTGCACAGTATAATCTCCTGGAAAGTTTTTACAGACCCTGGTGCCTGGGCTTCAGCTTCCCTAACATTTCTGATGTAGTTACATTGGAACAGTAATTTCTGAACAAAGTTTACATAGGCCTTGTTGTGATTATCAGATCATTTTTTTAAGTTTGTCATTTATCTGAAGTAACCGTGTTTCAAGAATTTCAATGCTGTGATTGTGTATTCTGGATGAATCGTTTCCTTGACACCCTCAGGCTGAACCAAAAGCTAATTTTCAAGTTCAGTGTAGTGTTTCCTTATCACATGGCCATGTTCAGGTTTCTTTGTCCGGGTGCTGTATTCCTTGAAGAAAAGGGCTGCGTCTTTGTAGTGCTTCTATCCCTGATGCTTGACAAAATATTTTGCTCATACTTGAAGAACACATAGTTGTTAAGGGAATGATGTTAGTAGAAAACACTAACTTTGTAGTTTGATTTCAGTTGCCATGACAAAACATTCTGACAGATCCCAACTTGGAGAGGAAAGGGTTTATTTAGCTTACATCTCCCAGGTCACAGTTCATCACTGAGGCAGCCCAAGGTAGGAACT